GCCTGCTTCCCTTCCTCTCTCTCTGCCTGCCTCTCTGCCTACTTGTGATCTCTGTCTGCCAAATAAATAAATAAAATCTTTAAAAAAAAAATAGTATGGTGGTTTTAAAATATGTCCACAACTTCTTTAAAACTCATCCCTTCAAAGGTAGAGCCTAATTTCCCTCACCTAGAGTGTAGATCATACTAAGTAACTAGTTTCTAATTAGCAGAATACGAAGTGGTTGTACTGATTTCTGGGATTAAATCACAAAGGCATTGTAGCTTCCACCTTGCTATCTTTTGGATCACTTGCTCAGGAGAAGCCTCCTGCTAACAACCAGCACAAACTTCTTAGCCATGTGCATGAGCTATCTTGTAATCCGATCTCTGCTTCTTGTCAAGCATTCAGATTCCTGCAGCCAACAGTCCGTATTTTGTTATGCAACTTTATGAGAAATGTGATTTTTTGCTTTCATGAGTAAAGACCCTATAATTTTGGTAGCAACAAGCATTCCAGCATTCCAACCAATTAGAAAACATCAATTTACTACAACCAAATTTGTAATTAAATTATATGCCCAATAAAGTCTGAATGAAGGAGGTAGAGAACACAGCAGTACAGGGAATCACTTATAAATTGTACAAATTTCTGTAAGAATGGATCTCCACATTTTTGGTACCTCTCCCAACATCAGTAAATTCATGGGCTAACAATAAAACTATCAGAGAAATTTGAGGAATAGTGAATTAGAGGGAATTTATGTGTCACTTCTGTATATAGACCAAGGGTTGACAACAGGCCTAAAGATAAGCTGCAAGTCACACATGGCACTGGGCAATCAGAGTAGCAATGACTACACACACAAAGGCTCTAATCTATGGCCTGCTAGTCCTAGGAGGCATGTCTTCAACTATGTCACAAAAGTCTTAACACAGTCTTAACGCTAGCTAAATTAGTTAAAGCTAGATTAAGTGAGATTACTGTCAGGATTTGTACATCAGATCAAACTTCTATGCGAATCTAATTTCCAAATTTACTGTAGAAAACTGTTTACTTAAACAATTTTTTAAAAGATTTTATTAATTTATTTGACAGAGAGAGAGAGCACAAGAAGGCAGAGAGAAAGGCAGAGAACGTGGTGGGGGGGGGGGAGCAGGCTCCCCGCTGAGTAGAGAGCCCAATGCGCAGCTGATCCCAGGACCCTGAGATCATGACCTGAGCCGAAGGCAGAGGCTTAACCCACGGAGCCAGTCAGGCGCCCCTTAAACATTTTTTAAAAAATGAAGTCTCCTATAAAAAACAGACTCAGTAGATCTTATTAAACCATTAAACTTATTAAACTATTAAAACCAGTCTTTCAATAACACAGGAAAACTCTTTGCCCTACTTAGTAAAAATGCTTTGAAAATAACTTTGGGATGACAAGATACAGAAAGGGTACAATTTCATGTTATATTCTATGATAGCTGTAAGCCGATTTTACAAACCTTTCTTTCTAAAAAAAAAATGTCAAATTTTCAATAACAACTTGGTAACTTCTCAAAGTCTCTCTAAAGGTTCTACTAAGAAAAGTTGTAGATTCTTGTTTTAAATAGAATCAAGAGTTGGGACACCTGGGTGGTTCAGTCAGGTCCAACTCTTGATCTCAGCTGATGTCTTGATCTGAGGGTCATGAGTTCAAGCCCCATGTTGGCTCCACACTGGGCACAGAGCCTACTTAAAACCAAAAACATTTAAATATAATCAGGGGCCAAATTAAAGATATTTGGCACTAATATTTATTTCCACATTTCACAGAGACAGACAACGGGCCTATAAAGGGCTTGCATCTGGATAAGGGACATGTGAGCAGATATCCGGTCTGGCCGCTGATCAGATGCAGCTATGGCTCAGCTGAAGTCAGTGTAGAAGAGGATGACAGCCTTGCTTATTATAAGCAAACCTGAAATCTATGCCTTTATAGGGTAGGATTCCTTGGAAAATTGTCATAATCGTAGGTATTTGTAAATATGAATAAATATTAGTGATTTAAATAGTTTAACATATCACATAAATGACTAAGACGTTTCCAGACCTTCTGCATGACTTTTCTTGCCCATCTCAACTGCAAGATGTACCACTGTGCCACAGGAAAAGAACACTGAGCTGCCCGGAAAAGCAAGAGGACCCGTTGAAGAATTCCAGACACCTTCTGGCGGTTCTCTTTCTCAGCTTTTAAAAGAAGATCATCACCATCTTCCTGAAGAAAATAAAACCAATGATTTTAGTAGCTAGTAATATGAAAATTTTAAGGGGTAAAGTGAAAATAAATACAGTGTTTCTCAAACTAAAATGTTCCTGGAGATTTATATGGGAAATTTTGAGGGATGGCCTCAGGTTTCAACTATAGGTATTGCTAGTGTCAAGGAAATATTTCTCTCATCTCAAACAATGTAAAGGGCTAAACTGACCTTAAACCCAAGACTTCCCCTACAGCAGTTAAAGCCCTCCACTTCTGACTCCAATGGTACTAATGGACTGCCAAACAGAACCTTACATTCTCCCTAGCCAAGAGTGAATCTCAGTACCCTGAGGGAGAGAAATAATGGGGGAGAAATAATTCTATTGTTTTTCTTTCTCCACCTCCCTCTCCCTCTGGACATAGACAAGGTATCCTTAAAAGCTGTTGGGAGCCACCCTGCTCCCACAAAGGGAGCCAGCCTTAAGCTGAAGCTAACACTTTAGAAAACAAACCAGAGAGGAAGAGCTCAAATCTATGTTAACATAACTGAGTCAGAAGACTACCCTATTACTGGACTTTTGAATTAGGCCAGCCATTTTGGACCAAGTTTTCTATTATTTCCAACCTAAAGAATTCTAATTGATACAGAGTGATATTTAGGAGAAATCCTACCACTCAGGATTATTTTATTAAAAAGTAATAAAATGAATCAGTACTAAGGATCGCAACCACTCGAACTAGAATCAGTGTAGCACATTCCAAAAATACCTTAAATACTATTCTTAATTTCTAAACTTATTGAATTATTTCTACTGAAGACTCAGAATGTGAGATGTGACAAAAAAGATGAATTACTAAGAAATATGATGGACAATTTACTCCTTCCACATATAACATATTACATTTGAAATATCAATAAATGAAATATTTTAAACCTATTGAAACATAACTATAACAAATAAGAATAGAATAAAAACTCTTAAAAAAGAAAAAAGCAGAGAAGTTGCTCATACTAAAACAGTAAGTAGTGAAGAAACAATACTAGAATCACTTCAAAATATTAATCAGATGTAAAAAATAATTTAAATGTAAATAATTTGCACTAATACTTTAAATCTTAAAGCCAGCTAATTCTGATATCATGAGAGCAGAGAAAAAGTTCCTGAGAGGAACACCGTATTGCTATTTATGACAGGCTATCAACTGAAGAGTGCAGGAGAAAAAAATGACCTACCAAAGAAAAAAACACAGTAAGTCTTTCAAAAGAGGCAAAGACAATGAGGTGAATAAAAGACTGAAACAATGTATGGCTTCTAAATTCTGACATTCATTATGTGTTACCCTAAACAAATGTCTATTTTTTAAAAATCTGGATAAAGAGAACTCTTTCTTGATTTTGTTTTATTATTGCAATAATTTTAACATTTATTGACTGCTTACTACGTGTCCTAGGCCCTAAGGTAAAAGCTTTTACAGGATATCTCATTTAATCCTCACAATAATGCTATTACAGTTACTATAATCATCAGCATTTTACAGATAAGGAAACTTAAACAGTTTAGTACATTGCTTAAGATTATACAATTAATAAACAGCAAAGCTGGGATTTGAAAGTTTGTCTTCAGAGCTTGCATTCTTATCTTGACAATTATTATGAAGTTGATTATTTTAAAATTTAGACAAAATCAATTTTAAATTAATTAAAAGATTAAGCTTACTTCACTAAGAACAGCTGGCTGAGGACAATACAATGGAGGAGCTGGAAGATACAAGCCAACTGGCACTAAGCCCCACAGTCTCCTACTGAAGTCTTTGGCGGAGTTTACCAGAAGCTGAAATGTCTCAGACAAAACATCTGCATCAGCCATAACTGCTGCTTTCAGTACTTCCTGCACTGAACCAAATAGCAGATTTACATCTTCTTCTTCAATGGGATCTGCCAAATACAAAATAAGTAAGAAAGTTAAGATTTATACTATGCTGATCCTATTTTGTAGTGTAAAATTTCCTATTTGAAAAAGCAGATCATCAAAAGTGAACATACTGGTTGACATGCAAAATAAGCCAACTTCTAGCCAGAAATTTAGTAACTATTCTGCTACTTTATTCATTCATTCATTCATTCATTCATTCATTTATGGAGAGAGAGATTGAGCATGGGTCAAGGACAGGATGAAGAAAGAGAGAGGATATCTTCTTTTTTTTATTTTAAGATTTTATTTTTATTTATTTGACAGACAGAGATCACAAGTAGGCAGAGAGGCAGGCAGAGAGGGAGGAGGAAGCAGGCTCCCCGCCGAGCAGAGAGCCCGATGTGGGGCTTGATCCCAGGACCATGGGATCATGACCTGAGCCGAAGGCAGAGGCTTCAACTCACTGAGCCACCCAGGTGCCCCAAGAGAGAGAATATCTTAAGCAGGCTCTATACCCAGAGCAGAGCCCAATACAGGGCTTGATCTAATGATCCTGAGATCATGACCTGAGCTGACAGACTGAGCTTAACCAAATAAGCCACCCAGGTATCCCTACCACAGTATATTTTAAATAAAAGTTAGTAAAAATGATTTATGTCATGCAGCTAAAAAAAAAATTAAAAAAAAAAAAAAAAAAGAAAAGCAAAAAGATACAAAACATTCCCACCAACAGTGTAAGAGGGTTTCCCTTTCTCCACATCCTCACCAACGTTTGTTGTTTCCTGTCTTGTTAATTTTAGTCATTCCAACTGATGTGAGGTGGTATCTCATTGTGATTTTGATTTATATTTCTGTGGCAAGTGATGTGGAGCATTTTTTCATATGTCTGTTGGCCATTTTATGTCTTCTTTGGAGAAGTGTCTGTTCATGTCTTCTGCTCACTTCTTGACTGGTTTGTTTTTTGGATGTTGAGTTTCAAACAGACTGAGGGTGGCAGGAGGGGAGGTAGGAGGGGATGGGGTAACAGGGTGATGGGCATTAAGGAGGGCATGTGAAATGATGAGCTCTGGGTGTTATATGCAACTAATGAATCACTGAACATTACATCAAAAACTAATGATGTGGGGAGCCTGGGTGGCTCAGTGGGTTAAAGCCTCTGCCTTCAGCTCAGGTCATGATCCCAGGGTCCTGGGATCAAGCTCCGCATCAGGCTCTCTGCTCAGCAGGGAACCTGCTTCCCCCCGCCCTTCTCTGCCGGCCTCTCTGCCTACTTGTGATCTCTCTCTCTAATAAATAAATAAAATCTTAAAAAAAAAAAAACAAAAACTAATGATGTATTATATGTTGGCTAATTGAATTTAAATAAAATTTTTTTAAAAAGACAAAAAAACAGTCCTACATTTAGTTCAACTATATAAATACGTATATAAATGTGGATATGTCCCAAAAGGTAAAATGCAAGGAGATGTAGATGATAGAACTAGAGATTTAGGGACTTTTATATTATGAAATATTTAAAGCATGCTTTAAGATATAGAATATAATATGAAAACACTCATGCATTGATTTTTCATTCTTGTCTGATATTAGCATTGTTGATATATTTAATATTTTTAAAAAATAAAATGTTTCACGGGGCGCCTGGGTGGCTCAGTGGGTTGAAGCCTCTGCCTTCAGCTCGGGTCATGGTTCCAGGGTCCTGGGATCGAGCCCCGCATTGGGCTCTCTGCTCACTGGGGGGCCTGCTTCCTCCTCTCTCTCTCTCTGACTGTCTCTCTGCCTACTTGTGATCTCTGTCAAATAAATAAATAATTTTTAAAAAAATTAAAAAAAAATGTTTCAGATATAACTGAAATTTCTGCACCAATCATATTCCACTCACTCTCTCCAGAGATAGCTACTATCCACAATTTGGTATGGGTATAAAGGAACTCATTATACATAAGCTATGTCCTATACACCTAGAGAGTTCAAATTCATCTTCCACTTCACTAACCATCTGCTGAGTTTGCTCTTAAATCAGTTTAAAAGGTATAATTTACATATGTTAAAATTCATCCTTTTTAAGTATATAGTTCAATGAGTTTTGACAAATTTATGCAGCCTTGTAAGAATAATGCCATCACCCCCAAAAAGTTCTTCTGATGGCAACCACTGATCTGTTTCTTGTCCTTACACTGTTTTTTCTTTTTTTTTTAAGATTTATTTATTTGAGAGGGAGAGTGAGGATGGGGGGAGGGGCAGAGGGAGAGAATTCTTCAAGCAACTCCACGCTGAGCCCTATACCCGAAATGGGGCTCAATCCCACAAACCATGAGATATGACCTGAGCAGAGACCAAGAGTTAAGACACTCAACTAACTGAGCCACCATGGTGCCCCCTTATAGTGTTACTTTTAATAAAATATCACATAAATGGAATCAAACAATATGTAATCTTTGTTTCTGACTTCTTTCATTCCTTACAATGGTTCTGCAATTCATCCACATTGTTGCATGTTATCAGTAGTTTGCCCCTCTTCATTCCTGATTATTCTGTTGTACAGATACAATGAAATTTGTTTATCCATTCACAAGTTGACAGGCACTGGAGTTGTTTCAAGTTTTTGGCAATTATGAAAAAGCTGCTGTGAACATTTGTATACGGGTCTTTTTGTGGTTCTATGTTTTTATCATGCTTAAATATCTAGGAGTAGCATCCACTGAGTTTCTATTTCCTCTTTCTTTCTGACTCCTGGAAATTTTCCCCACTTTCTCTATATATTAGCCTTAAAACATCTATTTTTATGTTTTATCTAGAAACACATTTTATCTATCTATTTATTGTGGGAAAGTTTTGCAGATTATTTAAAACAACATATTGCCAGAACTATAAGTTCAGACTCAGACTTTTTTAGTCCTTTTTTTCAAAACCAACTTTCATGCAGTTACATTATCTTTTTGTTTATTTAAAAAAATATTGACAGAGGTGCCAGAGTGGCTCAGTCGGTTGAGTCTCTGTCTGCCTCCAGCTTGGGTCATGTCCCAGGGTCCTGAGATCAAACCCTGAGTTGGGCTCCCTGCTCAGTGGGGAGCCTACTTCCTCTCTCTGCCTCTGCTGCTCTCTTGATCTCTCTCTCTCTCAAATAAATAAAATAAAATCTTTAAAAATAAATGAATATTTAAAAATAAATTTAAAAATATTGACAGAAAACTAGCAAAGAAGTTTTTAGTCAGATTTCCAAGTATTATGAGTTCTTTCTGGAAAGAGGAGTTATAATTAGTAAGATCTAAGAATCTAGAGTTAGAAATCTCACCGCTTAATAGAGACATGCACTAACAAAATCAAAGGGTCCTACAGTAGTCATTAAACATACATCTTTAAATACCTGACTTCATTATTTTTCATCTAAATTTCTCCATTTATAAAACACAAATTTTATAAGGCTCCTGGATAAATCTATGAAATATATGTGATATTACATTATTTTTAATTTTGTCATGCCACTCTGAACTTTTCAAACTAAAAACAAAACCAACCCTGTGATTTATGCACTCAGCAAGACTTAAACTAAATACTCTCCTGTGTGCGAAATTCTACAGCTATGACTACAAGAGAAAATAACCCAAATGGAGCAAAATATAACTGGTAAAAAGATATGTACAGGAAATCAGAGTCTCATTCAGTTACTTACAATCATTTTTTGAGCTGGCTTAAGTTTTGAATGCTCCCATGATTAGGAATAAATAGCAAACTTTTATCTTTGATAAGCTTACTGCAAAGTTTAATATATTTGTGGATATTAACAAGCTTTTAAAAATATCATAAGGTTTATATTAATTAAGCTGATACATTGTCGGACAAAAGTAGGTAACATACCTGTAAACTGTTTGTGTCTTGAGCCCATTTCATTTTTTGCTTCGGAAGAGGCTGGCTGACCTAAAAAACACTGCAGTTTTTCCTGGAAAATCTGTGCTGGAGTCAAATTTATAGGTAAATTCAGACCCTTTTTGTTGAACCTGAAATCACATCAAGTTAAGAGAAATGAATCCAAACTTTGAAAAAAAGGAAATATTAACACACTAAGAACTAAACATGAAATTTTAAGGAACAGTGAAATTCATTTTCTTTATTTATCCTCTATTTTAAAAAGAAATAATTAGGGGGAAATAAGAAATAATTGAGGAAATATTACACTAAGAAAATTTTTAAGGCTCTCCATGATTATGATACTAATACATCATCCCATCATTATTTCCCATTGCTACCCTACAGTCTACTCTATCCAAACTGTACCAAACTTGTCTTTAGCCATATGCCTTTGCTCATGTTTGGAATGTTCTCCCTCCCTACAGCTACTCCATTTGTCAAGATCCTGTCTTCCCTTTAATACCTATCTCAAATGATATCTCCTACATAAAATATTTCCTGTCCTATACCCATTTCATAATATTGCTCTCTCCACTGCATCACTGGCACTTTTTTTACCACACTATCTAAATTATAATAATGTTTTGTCCTAATTTCACTATTAAACTATAAATGTTTTAAACATGAAGACTATGTGCCATCTGTGTTTATGTCTACTAAAATATCTGGCAGAGAGCCTGGTATAGAAAGGTTACGTATAAATAAATATATGTTGAATTACTGAACTGAAAAATATCAAAGATACAGAAATACCATAATGTTCAAAAAAGTTAAAATACATATATTAGATTGATTAGCTTAAAATTTAAATCCTACTTAAGATAGACAAACTCTCCCATTGACTAAGACTTTTGAGGGAATTACTAACAAATGTGCTAAATAAAAGTGGTTTTGTTAAAGTTTTAATACAAGAAAGCTGCGAAGCTGTCCAACATGCTAGCCCCTAGCTGCATATTTACTATTTAAATTTAAATTAGACTGAAAACTCAGTTCCTTGGTCTTATTAGCCACATTTCAAGTGCTCAATAGCTACATATGACTAATAGCTATCATATTGGACTGCACACATAGAACATTTCCATCACCGAAAACAATTTTATTGGACACCGCTGGACTAAGGATTCCACAAAATGTGCAAATGCCAGCGATGAGAGAAATAAAAAGTTAAATGTCACTATGATACTATTTCTTAACCTAAGTTTGCCTAAGTTTGTACATACCTTATGAAATTGCTATCATGTTTACAGAACAGTTGGAAGGCCACACCAATGGAAACAGATGTCTTCCAGTCTCCAAGTTTATGTGCCAGCCACACAGCCTCTGGAACTAGGCCACCAATAAGTAATAATTCAAAGGCATATTCAACTGTCCACACATCAGAAAGATTCTGATCTCTTACAACACTGGCCACCTTAGAGTGTTGTAAAGGAATAAGTCGAAGGGCGTATTCTATGAGTAAATAAAAGAAAATAGATATTATAATTAATTTATCAGAACTCACTTCTCCTCACATAGTTACTTCTCTCTCTCTCTCTTTTTTTAAGATTTTATTTTTAAATAACCTCTATACTGAATGTGGGGTTGAAACTTATAAACTCAAGATTAAGAGTCGCATGCTTCACTGACTGAGCCAGCCAGGAGTCCCTATCTGTTTAATTAGCCTTTTTTACACAGAATCACAAGAAAGATGGCTTAAGATAGGGATGCCTCAGTGCCTCAGTCAGTTAAACATCTAACTGTGGCTCAGGTCACGATTTCACTGTCCTGGGATCGAGCCCCACGTGGAGCCTTCGGAAGGGAGTCTGCGTCTCACCTCTCTCTCCCTCTCCCCTTGCCTCTCTCCCTGCTCATGCTTTCTCTCTCTCAAATAAATAAATAGAATCTTTTCTTTGTCTTTTTTTTTAAGATTTTATTTATTTATTTGATAGAGAGAGAGTGAGAGAGCACAGCAGTGGGAGGAGCAGAGGGAGAGAGAGAAGCAGGCTCCCCGCCTGAGCAGGAAGCCCGACATGGGGGCCCGATCCCAGGACTCCCAGATTACGATCTGAGTGGAAGGCAGATGCTTAACTGACTGAGCCAGCCAGGTGCCCTAAATAAAATCTTATAAAAAGTGGTTTAAAATGGGGGCACCTGAGTGGTACCATCGGATGAGTGCCCAACTCTTGGTTTCAGCTCAGGTCATGATCTCAGGTTCATGAGATCCAGCCCACCTTGGGTTCAGCACTTATTGCAGAGGCGGCTTAGGATTCTGTCTTCCTCTCCCTCTGCCCCTCCCCCTGCTCATACTCTCTCCCTCTCTCTAAATAAATAAATAAATAAAATATTTTTTTTTAAAGTGATTTAAATAATACTTAACATACTCTAGGTTTTGTTTTTAACACTGAAGAAAATGCCTCATTAGTGGATCATGAAGTAAATGCCAGCATTCTTAAAAAATGAAACAGAACCAAGTAGATACAGAAAGAGACAGCATTGAGTACATTACATAAAACAAATATAAATAAAGTTTAATGAAAACTTTATGTCAGATAATAAAAACATACTTATACACACTAAAGTATACTGGGCCACAGTGTACAATTTATTACTGTGGGCTAACTGAAATACATCTCTATTTCTCCTACTAGAAACTGGGAGACCAGAGATGCATTTTACATGAATCTGTATTTCTCATAGCACCATGCAATAAATAACTAATTTAAGGTAAAACTCAAGCATTAAGTGTTCAATATATTAGTGTTTATAAAAAAGTAGAAAAGAGTGATTTTCAATAATCCTAAATGGACTAAATGGACAAGATTTCAGTCTGGCCTGGGATTAAATACAAAGGATGTTATCCTTCTCCCTAGCCTTTCATACCTTTCCCTAATTAAAGTAACATGAATAAGCAACTGGGAAATATGATGACTGAACTGTTATTTTATACACTATGGAGTATTATGCCTCCATCAGAAAGGATGAATACCCAACTTTTGTAGCAACATGGATGGGACTGGAAGAGATTATGCTGAGTGAAATAAGTCAAGCAGAGAGAGTCAATTGTCATATGGTTTCACTTATTTGTGGAGCATAACAAATAGCATGGAGGACAAAGGGAGATGGAGAGGAGAAGGGAGTTGAGGGAAATTGGAAGGGGAGGTGAACCATGAGAGACTATGGACTCTGAAAAACAATCTGAGGGTTTTGAAGGGGCAGGGGGGTGGGAGGTTGGGGGAGCCAGGTGGTGGGTATTAGAGAGGGCATGGATTGCATGGAGCACTGGGTGTGGTGCAAAAACAAGGAATACTGTTATGCTGAAAAGAAATAAAAAATTAAAAAAAAAAAAAAGGAGAGTAAGTATTCATTGGCACCAGCACAGATTGTCACTTCCAAACTTCTGTGATGTAAATAGGTAAAATGTATGAATTTATGAAGAATTAATGAATTTTATAATTAGAGCAATCAGTTGTATAAAATTTCATAACAATATGAATTATAATTTAAGAAATTAGAAATAAAATTCAAGTCCCCTTCATTAAAAAAAGATTCTCGGGGCGCCTGGGTGGCTCAGTGGGTTAAAGCCTCTGCCTTCGGCTCAGGTCACAATCTCAGGGTCCTGGGATCGAGCCCCACATCGAGCTCTCTGCTTGGAGGGAAGCCTGCTTCCTCCTCCCTCCCTCTCTCTCTCTCTCTCTCTCTCTGCATACTTGTGATCTCTGTCAAATAAATAAAATCTTTAAAAAATTAAAAAAAAAATAAGAGTCTCAAGAATTCTCAACGAAAAAAAAAAATACATATTGCTAACATTCCCAATCACTTCCTCAAAATAAAACTGGCAAATGGTATACATGGGTTTCTGCTCCTTGAAATGATGTTTCTCATGTGACCTAGTCTCTTCCCATACCAAACACTAACACTTTAGCCTTCTGACAAACACATTTGGATAGAAACACAAAATTTTGCCATTCAGGGCACCTGGGTGGCTCAGTGGGTTAAGCCTCTGCCTTTGGCTCAGGTCATGATCTCAGGGTCCTGGGATCGAGCCCCGCATCGGGCTCTCTGCTCAGCAGTGAGCCTGCTTCCTCCTCTCTCTGCCTGCCTCTCTGCCTACTTGTGATCTCTCTCTCTCTCTCTGTCAAATAAATAAAATTAAAAAAAAATTTGCCATTCACTTGAATGTTTGATTCTGCACAGGCAAAGAGCCCAGAGACTGATGAAATTTTTCCTACTTTTTTATTTACTATGAGTAAAGTACCATACTACTAAAAGAATTTGAATGATTTAATTTTCTAAAAATTTTATTGCTTTCATACAGCAAACATCATGCCAAATAAGCAACTCAAATCCTCAATACATTCTGCCATTAGTTCTGATTAAAATGATTAACATAAAAACTATTCTAAGTCAAGCCTGCAGATACCTTTTTCAAGATACTAGAAATTAAATGCTATATATATCATGTTTCAGGTATTTAACTTTTCAATAATCACAGTCTCAGGCTTAGGAAGAGATCACAAAACTTTCTTTCCTAGCCTCTCCTCTCACTGGGAAGATATGTACACAAGAAATAAAAATGTGTGTCTTTGAGCTTTTATGAATGGTTATGAATATGCCCCAAAACAATTCAATAATTCTATCACCTTTCTTCCTACAATGTGATAAAGATCAATCTTGTCAGGGCTCCTGGGTGGTTCAGTGGGTTAAAGCCTCTGCCTTCAGCTCAGGTCATGATCTCAGGGTCCTGGAATCGAGCCCCACATCAGGCTCTCTGCTTAGCAGGGAGTCTGCTTCCTCCTCTCTCTCTGCCTGCCTCTCTGCCTACTTATGATCTATGTCTGTCAAATGAATAAATAAAATCTTAAAAGAAAAAAAAAGATCAATCTTGTCTAGGGATGCAAAGTGATCTGAAAAGACAAAGATCATGGCAAACAACTAAAGTCCTATAAATAATGTAGGATAGGAAAGTTAAGAAATCGAGACAAACTTTCGAAGTCAGGATTTGATCTTTTTTTTTAAAAAAAAAAAGAATTTTTAAAGGTTTTTTAAAAAAACAGAGGGAGTACTACCTTTTCTCTTTACTAAAATAATGTGGATTAAGAACATTTGTTGTCAGAAACATTACTACCAAAAATAGAAAACACAGGTGATAAATACCTAGGGATGTAACAAAAGAGAGCTTAAATATAAAACCACTGTAATGATAATAAATGCAGCTGACCGTTGAACAACATGGGTTTGAACTGTGCGGGTCTACTCATACACAATTTCTTTGGATAAATACAGTACAGTAATATAAATGTATTTTCTCTTAGGATTTTCTTTTTTTTTTTTTTTAAGATTTTATTTATTTATTTGACAAACAGAGATCACAAGTAGGCAGGAGTGGGGGAAAGCAGGATCCCTGCTGAGCAGAGAGCCCAATGTGGGGCTCCATCCCAGGAACCTGAGATTATGACCTGAGACCAAGGCAGAGGCTTAATCCACTGAGCCACCCAGGTGCCCCTCTCTTATGATTTTCTTAACATTTTCTTTTTCTAGCTTACTTTATTGTAAGAATACAATAAATAATACATGTACAAAATACATATGAACTCTTTATCTTATGGGTAAGACATGTGGTCAATAATAGGTTACTGACAGTTTACTTCTGGGGGAGTCAAAAGTTATATATGAATTTTTGACTGCAGTGTGCTGGCACGTCTAACTGCTGTATTGTTCATGGGTCAACTGTATTATCAAATGTACAAGGAAATAAGTCATACCATCTGAGTAATATATGTTCTAGGGGAAGGCATAAAAGTGAAAGGAGTGCATGCTGTTAGAAAAGGCAGGGAGCACCAGCTGAATCTGAATTAGGACATGGTAGAAAAGGACAATGGTGGACAGGGACAGGAGAGCAGACAGAGCCTGGTGGAAGTTGAGCACCTGTTTCTATTTGTACTAGCTCCCTAAAACAAGCCATAATCAGATCAGGAAAAACTCTTCTTCCCAGAGAAGCAGGGATCTACTAGAAAAGAAACCATGAAACAAGTTCCCTTCTGATCTTACCTCACAAACATGACTGTCTAGGGAGCAGAACCTCTTGAAGAACCCCAGGTGAGAAGAGAGACTAGAACTACTGCTAAAGTGTTGTTCAAGTGGGCATAGGCAGTCCTCTGCTCTTACCCACATCCCGAGACAGTTACAGAAGACTCTGAACATGTAGTTCAAAACCCACTGTTCTGTGATTAAGTTTGCTGACCACTTGTTGCTACCCCTATTAAACTTTTTCTCTTAATATTTATTTGAGGGCGCCTGGGTGGCTCAGTGGGTTAAGCCGCTGCCTTCGGCTCAGGTCATGATCTCAAGGTCCTGGGATCGAGTCCCTCATCAGGCTCTCTGCTCAGCAGGGAGCCTGCTTCCCTCTCTCTCTCTCTCTGCCTGCCTCTCTGTCTACTTGTGATCTCTGTCAAATAAATAAATAAAATCTTTAAAATATATATATACATATATATATATATATTTATTTGAGAGAAAGAGAGAGAGAGCACAGCGGGGAGAGGAAGGGGGAGAGGGAGAAGCAGACTCCCTGCTAAGCAGGGAGTAAGATGCAGGACTCCAGCCCAGGACCCCTCAATTATGACCTGAGCTGAAGGCAGATGCTTAATGGACTGAGCCACCCAGGCACCCCCTCTATTAAACTTCTAATTACCTTCCATCTTGTACTATTCTAATATATGTGTATCAGTTCATGCTACTTCCTGATGAAATCCCACTGTACTTAAACTGCAGGTTCCTTCCCCTGGCTCACAACTGGCCCCTGTCTCTGCCTTCATGTCTTATCAGTCTCCACTTCATCCTCTATGCTCCAGCCACACCAGCCTTTCAGTTTCTCAAATGCATCAAGTTTATTCTTGTTCTGGAGCTTTTCCACAAGCTCAGGTTAGAATGCTGTAAGTACTGATATGTCCATGCTGTTCTTCCTTGTCTATTAAGAGTTCATCTTAGGGGCGCCTGGGTGGCTCAGTGGGTTAAAGCCTCTGCCTTCAGCTCAGGTCATGATCCCAGGGTCCTGGGATCGAGACCCGCATCGGGTTCTCTGCTCAGCAGGGAGCCTGCTTCCTCGTCTCTCTCTGCCTGCCTCTCTGCCCAGCCTCTCTGCCCTGCCTCTCTGCCTGCCTCTCTGCCGACTTGTGCTCTCTGTCAAATAAATAAATAAAATCTTAAAAAAAAAAAAAAAAGTTCATCTTAAATGTCCCCTCCCCCCAAGAGAGCATTTTTCCAAATTCACCATCTGAAATAGCTACTCAGTCATCACGCATTACTCTACTTCAGTTCTCTGCATGCCAATTATCACCACTTGATATATCTTGTTTATGTATTCATTTAACATTCTGTTTCAAGCTACTAGATGTTATTTAATTAGATGTTAATTTAATTAGATGTTATATTTAAATTCCATAAAAGAACAGGCATTTTAACTGTTTTGTTCATGGCAGTCAGAATAAGTCTATTTCAAAATAAAAGAACTACAAATATCTTCATATTGTTAATCTCATGTGGTACATGTTAATATATTTCTAGCACCTATAACACTGCTTGTTACACAGCAGACACTTAACAAAATTCATGGAATAAAATGAACATCATAGAAATCTGTGTACATGTTTCTCTCCATGACAGCAGAGCAGTTCTCTATGCACTGATCTGTGGTACATTTTGACATTAATAAAATGATCAAATAGAGCAAAGTAAATGACCTAAAGGAAATTATAAAAGTAAATCATTTAAATAAAATTAAATTCTAAATTAACATACTCAAAATTTGTTAAATTTTCACATTTTTTATATAAATGACAGTCCTTTTACTTTAAAAATGGAAACTATAAAAAATACCAATTTGTCTAAAATTTATACTTAAAAATCCATATTCAATAAAAACAAACCTAAGCAATACCTTTCTCAGATTTTATTCATTTATAGGCACTGAGAATCTATATGTCACACACTAAGCTAGAACAGAATTATTTACATAGAATAATGATCACTATATAAGCTGATTCTAAATACTATGTGAAAAAACAAAGTGAGAATATTATTTGCTTACTGTATTACCTGTTTTAACATGAAGGGGAGGAAGATCATTCACATTGTGAGGTGGCAAAATGTAAAGCAGCTGATTGGCGAAATAGGCGGCCATGAAACGAGCCATGGACTGGATAACCCTCACTGCCACGTCAGGACGAACATTTCTCGTTATTCCAAACTCACAGTGAGACTTCTCGGGAACTAAGGAATACAGCAAATGACCAAAGAAGATTCTGATCAAATTATCAAAAAGTAATAATATTTAAGTTCCCAACACTACACAAGAAAATTACAATTAAAAATTGTTTCTGAGATGTGCACCCATAACCTGTATGAGCAAATTTATAATGGTATCTATACTTCTTGAGGACAATTGAACAAAAATAATTAATTCACAATTATGAGCATATGCACTTCAGAACTACTGATGACTTCAAGTTACCAGTTTTATTTTAAAACATGGAAGGAGAAATACAAAACAATCCAGTCATGATGGACTTGCAAGCTTAGATTCATTCTTTTCCCTTTTCCTCCTTTTTCTAAGGCTTTTTCTTTGATGAAAGGAGACAGAGCTTACTATAAAAATAATCCAAAAAGCACTAGAACAGTGATTCTTTTTTTTTTTTTTTAAGATTTTATTTGAGAGTGAGTGAGTGAGAGAGAGAGCACAAGTGCAGAGGGGCAGAGGGAGAGGGAGAAGCAGACACCCCTACTGAGCAGGAAGCAGATGCTCTATGCTCTATCCCATGACGCTGGGATAATGACCTGAGCCAAACCAGCCGTTTAACCAACTGAGCCACACAGGGACCTCTCGAATAGTGATTCTTTTTTTTTTTTTTTTTAATTTTATTTTTATAAACATATATTTTTATCCCCAGGGGTACAGGTCTGTGAATCGCCAGGTTTACACACTTCACAGCACTCACCATAGCACATACCCTCCCCAATGTCCATAACCCCACCCCCCCAACTCCCCTCCCCCCATCAACCCTCAGTTTGTTTTGTGAGATTAAGAGTCACTTATGGTTTGTCTCCCTCCCAATCCCATCTTGTTTCATTTACTCTTCTCCTACCCCCTTAACCCCCCATGTTGCATCTCCTCTCCCTCATATCAGGGAGATCATATGATAGTTGTCTTTCTCCGATTGTCTTATTTCGCTAAGCATGATACCCTCTAGTTCCATCCACGTCGTCGCAAATGGCAAGATTTCATTTCTTTTAATGGCTGCATAGTATTCCATTGTGTATATATACCACATCTTCTTTATCCATTCGTCTGTTGATGGACATCTAGGTTCTTTCCATAGTTTGGCTATTGTAGACATTGCTGCTATAAACATTCGGGTGCACATGCCCCTTCGGATCACTACGTTTGTATCTTTAGGGTAAATACCCAGCAGTGCAATTGCTGGGTCATAGGGTAGTTCTATTTTCAGCATTTTGAGGGACCTCCATGCTGTTTTCCAGAGAGGTTGCACCAGCTTGCATTCCCACCAACAGTGTAGGAGGGTTCCCCTTTCTCCGCATCCTCGCCAGCATCTGTCATTTCCTGACTTGTTAATTTTAGCCATTCTGACTGGTGTGAGGTGTTATCTCATTGTGGTTTTGATTTGTATTTCCCTGATGCTGAGTGATATGGAGCACTTTTTCATGTGTCTGTTGGCCATCTGGATGTCTTCTTTGCAGAAATGTCTGTTCATGTCCTCTGTCTATTTCTTGATTGGATTATTTGTTCTTTGGGTGTTGAGTTTGCTAAGTTCTTTATAGATTTTGGACACTAGCCCTTTATCTGATATGTCATTTGCAAATATCTTCCCCCATTCTGTCAGTTGTCTTTTGGTTTTGTTAACTGTTTCCTTTGCTGTGCAAAAGCTTTTGATCTTGATAAAATCCCAAAAGTTCATTTTTGCCCTTGCTTCCCTTGCCTTTGGCGATGTTCCTAGGAAGAAGTTGCTGCGGCTGAGGTCGAAGAGGTTGCTGCCTGTGTTCTCCTCAAGGATTTTGATGGATTCCTTTCTCACATTGAGATCCTTCATCCATTTTGAGTCTATTTTCGTGTGTGGTGTAAGGAAATGATCCAATTTCATTTTTCTGCATGTGGCTGTCCAATTTTCCCAACACCATTTGTTGAAGAGGCTGTCTTTTTTCCATTGGACATTCTTTCCTGCTTTGTCGAAGATTAGTTGACCATAGAGTTGAGGGTCTATTTCTGGGCTCTCTATTCTGTTCCATTGATCTATGTGTCTGTTTTTGTGCCAGTACCATGCTGTCTTGATGATGACAGCTTTGTAATAGAGCTTGAAGTCCGGAATTGTGATGCCACCAACTTTGGCTTTCTTTTTCAATATTGCTTTGGCTATTCGAGGTCTTTTCTGGTTCCATATAAATTTTAGGATTATTTGTTCCATTTCTTTGAAAAAAATGGATGGTACTTTGATAGGAATTGCATTAAATGTGTAGACTGCTTTAGGTAGCATAGACATTTTCACAATATTTATTCTTCCAATCCAGGAGCATGGAACATTTTTCCATTTCTTTGTGTCTTCCTCAATTTCTTTCATGAGTACTTTATAGTTTTCTGTCAAATAGTGATTCTTAATGCTATTTTCTGTACCATTAGATCTGGGGATTAGGATACGGTCCCTATTTGAGAATCAAAACTTAGTAATATAAACTGGCATTCAGAAATCTGAAAATAGTTAAGCTAGTAAATACAGAAAAATACTAAGTTAACATTAATTTTTATGAAATTCATGGTCCCAGGGCACCTGTTTGGCTCTGCTGGTTAAGCATCCAGTTCTTGATTTAGGTGCAGGTTACCATCTTAGGGCTGTGAGATCAAGCCCCAGGTGGGCTTGCACTGTGTGTGGAGCCTGCTTAGGATTCCTTCTCTCTCTCTCCTCCCTGCTCTCTCTCCCTCTCCAATTAGTAAATTAATTAAAAGGTAAAATTTATGGCCCTAACAATAGCAAAATACTTCTCTTTCCCAAAAGTCACTTAATAATATTCACAAGAATATTAAGCTCTATATTCATATGAACCACTTCTATCTTGTCATGGTACACCTCAGCAGGTAACACTCTTCCTCTCACAGAGTAGGTACTCAAGATTATTGTTAGTAAGCTTTTTTAAATAAAGGGAATCTTGAAAAAATATGATTAGCCTTTAAGCAGTATTCGTCATCTGGTCAGTTAAAGTCTGGAAAAACAATATTATTTCTTCACATTGAACTTAAATGGCTCATAGGTATGAATCATTTTCTCCTGCATTAAACTTACTGTAGGAATTATACAAAGGCAAGATTTCCAGTAATTTTAATCATACAAAACTCATTATTATAAACTTAGAAATAAGCTCCTTAAATGGGAAGCAACCTAATTCTAAAAGATGGTCACAGAGTAAAACTGTATCAACTCAGAAGTAAAAAATTTGAAACAGTAATTCTGTATGTGGCACCCTGAAGATGGTAATAATGGCAACCTTACATAGTAAAAATTAAATTATCACTATATACAATGATTAATAAGGTAAGTGTGCAGGAAAGAGATAACAGAACAGGTCTGACTACTTGAAATGCTTGTGTATAATGTTGGCCTTTGAATGGCATCTGGAAACTTGGATTTGGGAAAGATTTCCACCACCTTAACTGATGAGAATAGCTTACAGACCTGTTTGTACAAACAATGCTGTTTATGCTGAATACCTGTTTTTCTTCTGAGAGTGTAGAATTTTGGTATGGAGTAGGTGGAGGGGGTGACTAGCCAGCGTCTAGTTAAAAACCCTGAATCTCTAAATGAGTTTCCTTGGGGCTCCTGGGTGGCTCAGTCAGTTAAGCATCTGCCTTCAGCTCAGGTCATGATCCCAGGGTTCTGGGATCAAGACTCATATCAGGATTCCTGCTCAGTGGGGAGTCTGCTTCTCCCTCCCTCTGCCACTCTCCTGTTCATTCATTCTCTCTCTCTCAAATGAATAAATAATATCTTTAAAAAAATAAATGCACTTCCTTGGTAAAGAACATTCACATGTGTTGAGACAACCTGTTGCTAGAGGAATTAAATGTGTCCTGTGTGACTTCACTAGGAAAGGAGTCTTAGAAACTTGTGCCTGGTTTCCTCTGGACTTCATCCCAAGCACCTGTTGTCTATGCTAATTTTGCTTTGTATCCTTTCACTGTAATAGATCATAGCCTTGCATATGACTATATACTGAGTACTGTGTGTCCTCCCTGTGAATCACTGAATATGGAGGGTAGTCTTGGGGACCTCCAACCCAGTAGGGATATACTTAATATATTTTAAACGATAGTCATTAAAAATTAAAATATATTAATATAGGTTCAAAATAGGTTATTTTTTTTTAAGATTTTTTTTATTTATTCATTTGACAGAGATCACAAGTAGGCAGAGAGACAGGCAGAGAGAGAGAGGAGGAAGCAGGCTCCCTGCTGAGCAGAGAGCCCGATGCGATGCGGGGCTCGATCCCAGGACCCTGGGATCATGACCTGAGCCAAAGGCAGAGGCTTTAACCCACTGAGCCACCCAGGAGCCCCAGGTTCAACTTATTTTAAAAGTTAGTGACACCACTGAGAAATGATGAAGAATATTCAATCAGTTAAAAAGTCACATAGAAAAGCTTTTCACTCATACACAGCTAGTAGACCTTTCTGAAGGGCAATTTGATACCAGTCCTAAAACCATGGATTCTCTTTGATCCAATAACTTCATTTGTAGAAATTTATCCTAAGGAAATTATTAGTAATGCCCACAAAAATTTATGCGAACTGCAGCACTATTTAAAATAGTAAATAGGTGGCAACAACTAAAATGTGCAACAATGGGGGAAAGTTTTAATAGGCTTTCAAAAAGCATACTATTTACATTTGAAAATATTCATCAAAATGTTAAATTTTAAAAGATTATAAAAGAGAGGGGAAAACGATACAAGATGAAACTAGAGAGGGAGACAAACCATAAGAGACTCAATCTCAGGATCAAACTTGAGGGTTGGTGGAGGGGAGGGGGCTGGGAGGGCTGGGGTGGCAGGGTGATGGACATTGGGAGGGTCTGTGCTATTATGAGTGCTGTGAATTGTAAGACTGATGAATCACGGGTGCCTGGGTGGCTCAGTTGGTTAAGACTGATGAATCACAGACCTTTACCCCTGAAACAATATATTATATGTTAATAAAAAAAAGAAAAAGATTACAAAAGAGAATACACAGCTCTAATAAATGTATACATATGAAAAAGTGTTAGAATTGTAAGTTATTTTTCTTTTTACATTTCCATTTTTCAAAATTATCTAAAATAAACACATATTACTTCCATAATAAACACAAAAATTTTAAAAGATAAAAATACAAAAAATAGGGGCGCCTGGGTGGCTCAGTGGGTTAAAGCCACTGCCTTCGGCTCAGGTCATGATCCCAGGGTCCTGGGATAGAGCCCCACGTCAGGCTCCCTGCGCCTGCTTCCTCCTCTCTCTCTGCCTACTTGTGATCTCTGCCTGTCAAATAAATAAATAAAATCTAAAAAAAAAAAAAAAATACAAAAAATAAGAGATCTATAAACAGTGGCTGGAACAATAAAAACCTAAGCTGGCATGGATTCCATTTAGAAAGTTCTGATACACTGGGCATTTCAGACCCACTCATATTCATATTATACATTTAATGGTCTACTACCTTATAAATATTATACATATGTGTTCATATATATCTTTCACTCTGGTTATTGCTTAATTTAAATATACCCCTTTTAAAAAGGGCAATCCACATACTCTGCAGCCTCTTAAATGAATTTTTTAAAAAAAGAGTTAGAATACCTCAAAAAGTGATTTTCATCACTTTACCAAACCACCTTAACCAATAGTTAAAATATATTAAGGAAAAAACTTGGATATCATCTAAAAAATATGACTGTGAGAAAACAATTCTGGCAGTTCAGCAGGCAATTATTGCTAAGCCCTCAGGATCCAAAGATTTAAGAAAACAAACAAACAAACAAACAAAACAAAACAAAACAAAAAACCCCACGATCCTTGCTATTGAGAAGCTGACAGGTCAAAATTCACTGTAACGTAATCAGCCAGCTCAATCAACTTTCATGTTTTACCTAAACCTATGAACACAAATTAATGAGATGAAACATACTGATTGTCAAAATACATACCTGAACAATCCTCATTTTCTTTTACAGGTAGATGGGACCACTTCAAAATTTCTCTTACTAGGTGATCACACAATCCTTGAGCATCGTTTAAATTATAGCTATAGAGGTAGCAGTATAAAAGAGAAAGATAATAGCGTATCTGAAGAAAACATGTTCTTCTTCCTCCTTAAACAAGAAAGAATTAAGCTTACATTAAAAACATGTTAGCAAGGTAATGTTCCTTTTTTAAGCTAATTTATTTAGGTAATCTCTATACCACGTGAGGCTCTAACTCATGACTCCAAAATCAAGTCACATACTCTTCCGACTGAGCCAGCCAAGTACCCCAGCGAGGTAATGTTCTCAATCTCGGAGCAAGGTGGACAGGAATGTTCAGTTTATGAAAACTGTACACTGAGGTTATGTGAATTTTTCTGTATTTGTTTTATATTCCTTTTTTTAAAAAATATTTTTCTTATTTATTTTTTAGGAAGAGAGAGAGAGAGAGCATGAGAGGAGAGAGGTCAGTGGGAGAAGCAGACTCCCTGGCGAGCAGGGAGCCCAATGTGGGACTCGATCCCGTGACTCAAGGATCATGACCTGAGGCGAAGGCAGTCGCTTAACCAACTGAGCCGCCCAGGTGCCCTGTTTTATATTCCAATAAGTTTTTTTTTTTCTTAAAACAGGTCAGCAATACTTTGTTCTCTTTCATTTTAAGTTCTGAACAATTTTATTATCTTTTATCAGGCCCTAGGACAACTAAGATTTTATCCCAAGGGTGCTGAAAATCCAGCATCTCAGCACTAAAGTCCATTAACAACATCTATCTGAAGCGCACATGGTATAAAACAGAAGGAAACATGCTAAAAAAAGAAAACCCCAAGAAACCATACGTATATCAAACAGTTAGTCAAAGAGACTTCCCAAAGGAGAAACACTATCCAACAAGATAGGTTCCCCTGACCACGGCACCCAAGTATTGAAGGGTGTTTAGAACTGATACCTTATCCATTCTTTCTGAGTAAAAAGAATTTCAATTTTATCTGGGTTTAACAATCCACCCAGGGGCACCTGGCTAGCTCAGTCAGCAGAGCAAGAGACTCTTAATCTCAGGCTTGTAGGTTCAAGCCCCACACTGGGTGTAGAGATTACTCAAAAATAAAAAAAAATTACAAAAAAAAAATAAGCACCCAGATCATAATTTCTCACTTAGATGTGGCCAGGTGAAAAAAACAACTTAGCTCTGGACCAAGAGATAACACTGTGTGGAACTTCCAGAAAAGCTGGAAGGGAGGTAACTCAACTAGGAGGTGCACACTTTTCTTGCCCTTCCTGCTCCCCTCCTCTCTGCTGTCTAGAAATGGATGTGATGGCTGGAGTTTCAGTACCCATTTTGCTCATGTAATGGTCTTAAGATTGGAAGCAGTACACTAAAGACGTCTGAGAAGAAAAACTAAAGGACATGTGTCCTTACTTAGATCACAGAAACACCAAATCAGCCCGACTATCAACGTCTGGTCTCCTTTTGTAAGAAAGAGAAATAAACTTCTTTCCTGTTGAAACCACTATTACTTTCAGTCTCCATTATTAGAACCCATTCTTAGCAGATAGAGTTGGGAATGAAATGAAACATAAAGGTCCATAATGGAATTATGAAAACTTTTCTCCATCAGAACTTCTCATCTCCTTGAATGCCACACTACTTCATCCAGTGGACAATCCCCAAACGTGAGAACTGCATTAGACTTCTTTCTCCAGATCTACTCAGTCACAAGTACAACTGATCAAACCTATTGTCTTTCAAGTGTAACCTCTGCTCTCCAGTACTCTTAACATTGCTTTGATTCAGGACCTCCTCAACAGACTAATTTTCCTGCTCCCATGTGAATCCCACATATCTACACATGATTCCTACAAATGATGCTCACATTGTGCCAAATTAATCTTTCCAAAAGGCTTATATTCATTTGAAAGGTTCTTTTTCCTACATAAAGTACCTAATTGATCCCAATTTCTTCAGAATAAAATCTTAATCCCTTGGCATTGCATACAGTATGTCCCTTATCATCATTTCCCTACATACCTCTCACCTGAGCTCTTGCCACCCTACTCTCAACACTGCATACATGTATCATATAAACTAGTCCTAGCAAACAACTTGCAGTTTACCAAACTGCCCTGGTTTCTCACGCCTTTTTGCTTTTATAATTGCTATCTCCTTTGTTAAACCATTACCACTACTTTAACTGGCTAATTTATACTCGATTTTAAATGTCAACTCCTCCAGGTTTTCCCCAGACTAATGCTTATACTCCAGCCTCAGAATGTGGGAAGTGCTCTTTTGTGCTTCCCCAGCATCTACCAAGCAACACAAGAAAAGTGCTAGTTTTTTCACGTAATCTCTCCTCCATATCATGGGCAACTTGTGAGTAAAATTATTTATTTCAGTTATTCCCAGTGCCTAATACAATACTAAGGACATAGCAGGCCCTCGATGAACACTGGTTAAAATAGGGGAATAAATGAAATATGCAAAGCAGTCAGAAAATAAACTTAAAAATTGAGCAAATCTGACCACGTAGTATTATAGTCACAGCTAGCTCCAAGGTCACTGGCTGAAAACTTCTGTCATCCCACTTGTACTCTCAATACCATAAAAGCTATCACCAGTTTCTAGAATGTACATTTTCTAGTCTCAAAAAAAATTCCATGAATCCTGTACTTTAAAAAAAAAAAAAAAATTATTTATTTATTTATTTATTTGACAGAAAGAGAGAAAGAGAGAGAGCACGAGCAGGAGCGGCAGGTGGAGAGAGGGAGAGAAGCAGGCTCCCGACTGAGCAGAGAGCCCAATGTGGGGCTCGATCCCAGGATCCTGGGACCATGACCTGAGCCACAGGCAGATGCTAAACCAACTGAGCCACCCAGACCACCCAGTATGAATCCCGTACTTGACCCAACAATCAGTCTAACTCACAAGAAATTCTTAAAGTGGAATTACTTAAGGGTAAATAGCGTTTGCTCCATGTTTCTCTAAGTCTGTAAAAAGGTGATAAATGACCAACAAAACATTATTTTATTTAGGATCTAAATCTCATTTTTCCCCATCAATAATTATTCACAGCTCCCATCAAAAAAAGGACAGAAGGAGATTTGTCTATAGATAACAGAAAAAATTCTTAGTACTAACAATTCCAAGACTAAAAATAATTTTAAAGAAGTATTTCTGACAGTCAAGGTACCTACCATTGTGTATTCTATTTGAGCATGGAGAAATTGTGAGCACTTGGGACTCTGGAATTATTTTTAAGCTGTACAGCATGCCAAAATACATTCCTACCAATATTATGGCGACTATTATTTTTCAACACTCTCCTACCTTTCTCCTGAGTTTCTTGTAGAGCTTTCCTCCACAGTTGAACAGATTTTTCATATGATCCTAACAGGAAACACTCTTCACCTATGAAGTTTTTAACCCACAGTCAATCATGGTTAATGACAGTGCTTTATATATATTTACTTCATTTTAAAATTTAGTGGATATAGCTCAGCCAGAAACTATTTTGAAAAACAATTAATTGCAACCAGTTAATAAAATCAAAGCCTAGTTAACCATATTGCTTATTCACAGTTAGAAAATGTTTATAAACTACTGACCACTGACAGATTTAAGTTCCAAGGCTTGGTTCATGTGAGCTCCAGCAGTCTGCAAGTTAGCCTGGATATGACATAACAGAGCCTTGACAGTAGATGCTTCCTGTGTCATCTTTTCAGTTAACGGTCTGTCACCTTCAGGAAGTCTTCGACTTAATTGTGTTTGATACCATAAAGTTTTTTTGTACAACACTCTCCAGAGAAAAATCAATCTGCACACAAAATTAAATGATCATCAAAACCAAATTTCAGACTAGGAATAAAAATGAATACAGCCTCCTACTTAGCCTTATTATCTTTGCCTGGATTCTTCACTGATATAGTAATATAAATACAAACTGATCAGATTTAAATATAACACAAAATCCACTGATCAAAAAATGCAAAATACATTTTTTTTAAGTCTTCAGTTATTTTTCTATAGTGCTTACCTAAACAAAAATCATTCAATACTTGGGCATGTATCAGGGTTGCCCAAGACTAATAAAATACATGTGTTGAATAAAATTTGGCATAAATCCTAAAATATTTTAAAATAATATAAAAATCTATAAATGCTAACTGGTAATGGATACGGTGTTTCTTTGGGGGATTATAAAAACGTTCTGGAGGGGCTCCTGGGTGCCTCAGTCAGTTGGGCATCCAACTCTTGGTTTCTGTTCAGGTTGTGGGATCAAGTCCTGCATTGGGCTCCATGAGGAGTGTGCTTGGGATTCTTTCCCCTTTCCTCTTCCTCCCCTTCTGCTCCTCCCTCCCCCCACCAAGATAAATGAATAAAATCTTTTTTTTTTAAAAAGCATTCTGGGGGTGCCTGGGTGGCTCAGTGGGTTAAGCCTCTGCCTTCAGCTCAGGTCATAATCTCAGGATCCTGGGATCAAGCCCTGCATCAGGCTCTCTGCTCAGCAAGGAACCTGCTTCCTCCTCTCTCTCTGCCTGCCTCCCTGCCTAATTGTGATCTCTCTCTCTCTGTCAAATAAATATATAAAATTTGAAAAACAACAACAACATTCTGGCTCAGTGCTAATAGTTCTACAACCTTTTTTTAATACTTCAAAATGGTGTATTTTACAGTATGGGAATTATATCTCAATTTTTCAAAAAGGAAAACATCTATAATATTGATGGTATCCTAATGTAAAGTAATTATACCTGCATCCTGGTTGTTGAGCAAGGTTTATTACTTGAGGACAAATCTTGAAAGATGAGTTCCAAGACCAGTTTTCCTGAGAATCACTATCTTGAAATATTTGAAAAATGGGTACCACCCATCTGTCTTGATCTGCTGTTCTACTTCCGTCAGTTGATGCTGAAATAACTTCAGGTTGAAGAATGTATATGCCATTTAAATTATCAGCTACCATTTTAAGTAAATGAAAACAAGCCAAAAGCTTCTCTGAAAATAACTGACCCTGTTGTTGCTGAGTCAGCAAAAGCTTTATAGTATTTGAGGTCAGCTTTACCAAATGTCCCAAATCTTGTTTGTATCTCATATCCCAATAATGGAATGATAAACACTGATGAAAAAGTTGAAAGATACATAGTACCCATGCATTTTGTCTCGTGCTCTTGCTTAAAAAAAGATCTAGTTCAGGGAAAGGACATTTTATAAATTGAAGAATGTAGAAAAAATGAGTGATACAAACTACTGTGTAATTTAACATTACATTTTTTTCCACCACATTTTTTGAAATTCCTATAGCCCATGCTGCAAGGAGATTTTTCTGGACAGAATGCAGTTCTGTAATGGTTTTATCTGTCTCCATGATATTATCTTTTGCATGTATTGTATCAAACATAGACGCAAATTCCAATCTTCCCTCCTTGACACTACTGAACAATGAATCATTTTTTTGGTTCCAAAGTGAAAATAAGTTGTCTGGAAAGTATATGCCTTCATTAGTTTCTTCTGCTTCAAAATCCTAAAACATGGGTGAAAAAAAATTATACTTAATGCCATTTAATACCTTACATGTAAAACCAATGGCGTTCTCAAATTTCTCTCCCTTTAACAAGAGAGAAAAACAAAATACATTTCTTGGTATAAAGTCAATATGAACCTGTTTGAAGTAAATAAAACACTGCTACTAAGTACCTGGAAATCTGCTGTTTTTTCAGTTAAGTTCATTGTTTCTTCTGCCTGTAAGAATCTGGGGACAGTAGAATCAGCTAAACTTTGATTTCCTTGGTGTTTTAACAGGCTACATCTCAGGGAATCCAGTGATCGCAAGTTCAGCCCTTTGCCTTTTGGCTGCAGAAGAGAAAAGATTTCCAAGAGCCAAAGTTTATCTGTAATTATATCACAAGCAGCTAAAAATTCTAGACAACTGTATATAATCCCAGGACATTACTGTCAGTATGGTTTTAAATCTGAGAAAACTAAGAAGCCATCTTTTACCAATGATACCAAAAAGCACTATACCTTAGACAATATCATACTTTGGTATGTTTTCTCAAGCCTCTGGGTTGAATCAAGTAGAAGGGATCTCATGAGCATTGATGGAGACAGGGTATCAGCAAATCGAAGAGTTGTGACCATGTATCCATCAGAAATAATGAGGTAGGGTAACCGTGAGTGTGCTTTTATAGAAAATCTCTGTCTCATAGGGTCATTATCAGAAGCTGATGAATCTACACAATTATTCGAATCTTGAAATGTAAACTGCTGTGGTCTAGCAAACAAACACAAAATTAAAGAATAGTTAAGAGAAAAATCTTCAAGGAAACAATCATATTATTCCAAAGAAAAGCAAAACAACAATTAAAAACTACAGAATGATAAAAAAGTCACTGAAACACACTAACATTAAATTGTATATATCTGTAAGGAAAACATAAATGACTAAATAATATGTAGGTTTATACACTTTTTGAATATTTCCTGAATTATGGCATTTACTCTATTTTGTTTTTAATTTAGTTTTATATAAACTATTTCAGAGAAGAATTAAGGCAGTTCATTTTTACTATTACAGAGTTAAATAGTTAACCTTGCTTCTCATATATTTAAATACACTTATAAGAATATAAATATGAGATATGAATATACTTGTTACTAAGGAGGAGAAAGAAGGGGGGCCTGGGTGGTTCTGTTGGTTGAGCATCCGAATCTTGGTTTCAGCTTAGGTCATGATCTCAGGTTTGTGGGATTAAGCCCTGAGTCAGCCTCCGCGCTGGGCACGGAGCCTGCTTAAGATTTTCTTTCCCTCTCCCTCTCCCGCACCCCTTAAAGAAAAAGAGAGGAGAAAGAAAAAAAAATGAGAAAGACACTTGGGAGAGATAGTAGTGAGTAAAATTTATCAGCTTAAGATTAAATTTGACTGAGTTTCCACATAAATGTACACATTTACTGTTATGGTGGTATACCTGCTTACAATTACTTAATATCACTGCTTAATAATTTTGGGGCTTTATAAAGAGAACAAATAATCAAAAATATAATCTCTTTCTGGTTAGGAAACTATTCAAATATAGATTTTACTAGTCAAATGGTCAACAGGAGACTGGTGAATTACACAATATCTACACAAGGAATCTATAAAACATTAAAAAATTACTTCATGGAAAGATGTATAATATAAACTGTTCAATCAAAAAACCAAAACAAACAGTAAACAGCATTTATCACAGAACTTTTGCTTTAAAAAAGAAACTAGGGGCGCCTGGGTGGCTCAGTGGGTTAAAGCCTCTGCCTTCGGCTCAGGTCATGATCTCAGGGTCCTGGGATCAAGCCCCATATCAGGCTCTCTGCTCAGTGGGGAGCCTGCTTCCCCCTCTCTCTCTGCCTGCCTCTGCCTACTTGTGATCTCTCTGTCAAATAAATAAATAAAATATTCAAAAAAAAAACCCTAATATTGTTATTATTATAAATGTCATTTTTAAAAAACTTCTTTTAAGACAACACGCTAAAATGTTAATAATCGTTATTTCAGAGGAATAGGAATACAAGAATGTTTCATTTTCTACACAATTTAGTTTTATAGCACCTGATTTTTTATTAGTTAATTTTCTCACATAATAAATAGTATTACTTATGTAACCATTAAAAGCAATCCGTTTTAAAAGGTCCTAAATTAATTTTAAAGAAGAATATGAGGAAATTTAAGTCAATTATGAAATAGACCATAAAAATAAGGAAAAAAAATACTTTCACTGCAGGAAATGACAAATTTTTCAATTAGGATTTTCTAATACTAAAAATTAAGCATCATTTTTGCTAAATATAATCAAGGACATACCCCTCCACAATTACCTTTCTGTGAGGCAATGGCAATGGACTAATTTCAAAGGAGTTTTCCAATTTTTTTGTATTGTAAATACCTGTGTATATATGTCTGGTCATATCTAATATCAACATCATTAACAACAAATATTTACTGAGCACTTACTTTATATTGGAACTGTGCTAAGCAATTTAATACTACTTATTATTTTACTTCAATCGAGTCTTCTTTTCACAGTAAAAGAAACAGAGGCTTAAAGTATAACTTTCCCAAAGTCACGCAACTAATAAGTAGAAGAACCAAGATTTGAATTTACATCTGACTCCAAACCCAAAGCGCTACCCCACCCCACAATTAAAAATTAAAATATGGCTAAATTCTGAAGTCTTCTATCCATTTCCCACAACTTTTTCCTTTTTTCCCTTTGGGGAAAAAAAAAGATAAATCCATTTGCCAAGTTAAGTTTGAGTTACTAATTTATCTAAGTATTCTTCTTTTAAAACAATGAAAGACATATCATACTTCTTTGAACTTTTACATAAAAGAAGATAAATGTTTTAGTGTTACTGAATATTTAAATAACTCATACTTACATAGTCACAATGTCAAATATTCACCAGGATTAAGCAACAAAAAGAAATAGAAGAAAACTATAAATAAGAAACAGGTATTGAGATGACAGACGCAAAGAAAGAATAAGACAATGTGAAAGACAAAATTATTAAAAAAAAATACATAAAGTAATACCAAAGAAGAAAACCTTCTGTAAACAAATTATAACAATTCAAATGTCTCACCTATATGTTATTAGAGGGTGAAAAGGAATAAATTCTGCTGGCCCAAATTCTATGGAGCAACCAAATGTAATTAATGTTACCAATTCACCTTGACAGGTCAATAAAACCAGGGAGCCACGTTTTAACATACAAGCCAGAAAAAGACTATCATGAGTCCAGCTGATATCACCCACCCAGTAGGACCTAGAAAAAGCAAGACAGTATGTTTAGAAAGGACTCTATATAATGTTTTTCACAATTTAAAATGGCCAAGGGTGAAACACTCCAAAAATAAGGGGAAAAGAATGAACAGTAGACAACTACCACATATATTTTGTGTATTTTACTTCCTAGGAAAATGGTAAGAACAAAGATGTTTGCTCATAAATACTTATTCCATACAACATATCAACTAGAAATTCACAGATACATAAGCAAATAAGATGAAAATACTCCCTAAAAGAGTTAAGCCTTTTGGTTACTCACATTTTAATTAGAACAGCTCTAATCATATTGGTGTCTACAACTAAAATCCACTGATAGATTTAAAGGTCAATATCCCACCTATCCTCTCTGCAGCTTGCTAGAGTTCCATGAGCAGCGGACTTCCTCCTCCCAAAGCCATCCTTTCTACTCCTTAACTATCTGGTAACATTAATCTTTCATGAAAACAAAAAGTAGCTCCTCATGTAAATTATGACAGAGATTCTAAGTCAAGCAGACCGCTGCAACTGAGACTAGTAATACTTTACTGAAGTATAGTTGAGACATGGTGTTATAATAATTTCAGATGTAAGAATGAATAATACCTTTAGAAAAGAACTTTTGAAGAGGGAAAGAAAATGCAGAGACAAGGCTAGATAGACTAAAAACTTTGGAAATTCAGAGAACAGCACAGAAAAGTGTTTAGAAAAGGAAATTACAGAAGTCCAAGAGAAAATCTGGTAGTGGCTCATGTGCCATTCAAAATTAATCCATATGCAGAGCACACCAATTTTGTTTAAAAAGCTAATACCTCAGCCTCCCTGGGTATATAATGGTTTTCCCAGTCCAGGCTATTTAACTTTGGTCTCTAATTAAGCTCAATTATTTCCCTACCCAGTTGTAATCCCACTCCTCCTGAGACAACACAGGAGAAAAAGGAGAAAAGAAAATATGTTCATTATCTTTTACCCTACTGAGACCCTTTCTTAAAGTAGGATTTTCCTTAATAAAGCAATTTTTAGAAGTTATCAAGCACAAATGCTGAAAGTAAATTGCATTATCTATCTAAATATCTATTTAGATAGCTTTTGAATTATCAGAGCCTTAAACTTATCAAACCATTGGAAAATCGAAACACTATGTAGAAACACAAGAGTTCTTACCTGGTAAGTGTAGCTGGGACTATAGGATTCTTATTACTACATCCTCTCAGGCTACCACAGAGAGTAACAAAATTCAGTGTGTTTATAAACAATACCTGAGTTGCCTAGAAAGGAAAAAAAAAAAGACAACAAAGCCATTAAATTATTTCACTTTAATCATTACTTTTAATTCTGGAGACCTAGAGGCGCCTGGGTGGCTCAGTTGGCTAAGCAACTGCTTTCAGCTCAGGTCATAATCAAGTCCCACATCGGGCTCCCTGCTGGACAGGAAGTCTGCTTCTTCCTCTGCTTCTCCCCTCTCATGCTTTCTCTCTCTCAAATAAATAAAATCTTTAAAAAAAGAATTCTAGAGACCTAGAGACTATTATTGTATAAATAAACTATCTTGGAAGTTTTTCCCAACTGGAAAACAATACTGAAAACTAAAACTCCTCACTTTTTTAGACTATATTTTAAGGCTATCAGTTACCACTTTGTCCTTTTTTCTTCCTTTTTGCTACCCTTTTCTCACTTCTCAAGGCCAAGTTTTGGAATTACAGCAGCTAGTTTAAACAACTTTACCAATCTACAACGTTAAATTGGATCAGAAAACACCAATTTAAAAAACATAAAGTAGTATTAAAAAAACAAGGAACTCCAAACAGGACTAAAGTCTTTTATAGGTCACTTCCAAGACAAATTACATTTACCGACCTTTGGGTCTTTCTGATTAAGAGTTACTGCCAAGGCAACACCATCTCTTGAAAAGGCAGAAAGTAGAGCTCCTCTTGACTTCACTGCTTCACATTTAGGAACCAGATTACACAGATGGCAGTTTTGTTGTGCCCAATGAACATGGTATGGCAATGAACTAAGAAAGCAATGAAATAATTGAAATAGGATATTTAGTTCATCACGAAAAACTTAAAGAGTACAACTAAATTCCTACATGTGCACAAATATTAGGAGCCTCTTAGCTACTGTTCAGAAGTTTCATCCACGGCACAATGAGCAGTTGCTAGTTAAACAAATTCACTATCAGCGTTTTGTTAGTAAAGGCATGTCCCATATAGTCAACCCCAAATTCATCTGTTTTGATGAAAGGTTTAGGTGACACATATTTCTACATTATTATAAACATTTTTATGGAAATTAAATAGGTAGAGAAGAAAGGATTTTTTAAATAGTGCCAATGATTTTGCTGCTGGGGTGCCTGTCTGGCTCAGTTGGTAGAGCCTGCAACTCCTGAGCTCAGGGTTTTAAGTTCAAGGCCTACCTTGGGTTCCATGCTGGGTGTGAAGCTTTCATACAAAAAATTAAAAATTAAATAAAATAGTGAAAATGTTTTATATTTGATATTAGGATGGTTGTATACATATTTATCAAAATCCATCTCATTATACATTTAAGATCTATTCATTTTACTTTATATAAATATTTTAATAAAGTACTGTTAGTGTATGAAAATGAAGAAAATAAGTAAAAAAAAGCCCACTATTTTACTAAATCCTACTTAGGCATTCTACGCTTTTAATGAACTCTGTGTATTACTGGGCTTTTTAGAATAAATAAAATTTTTTATTTTTATTTATTTATTTTATTTATGTAATCCCTATTCCCGACATGGGCTCAAACTAATGACCCCAAGATCAAGGGTGGCATGCTCTTGTAACGGAGTCAGCCAGGTACCCCTAAATAAAACTGTTTTTTATATATTTTTTAATTCATTTATTTGAAAGACAGAGAGAGAAAGGACATGAGTGGGAATAGGGGCAGAGGCAGGGGGAGAAGGAGACTCTCCACTGAGCAGGGATTCCCTGGGGATACAGGGCTCCATCCTAGGACTCCAGGATCATGACTTAAGCAGAAGTCAGATGATTAACATACTGAGCCACTCAGGCACCCCAATAAAACTATTTCTTAATTTATTTATTTTTTTAAAGATTTTATTTATTTGACAGACAGAGATCACAAATAGGCAGAGAGAGAGGAGGAAGCAAGCTGCCTGCCGAGCAGGGAGCCCGATGCGAGGCTCGATCCCAGGACCCCGGGATCATGACCTGAGCCGAAGGCAGAGGCTTTAACCCACCGAGCCACCCAGGCGCCCAAAACTATTTCTTAATTTAAAAAGTACTTGAGCAGGGGCACCTGGGTGGCTCAGTGGGTTAAAGCCTCTGCCTTCGGCTCAGGTCATGATCTCGGGGTCCTGGGATCAAGTCTCACATTGGACTCTCTGCTCAGCGGGGAACCTGCTTCCCCCTCTCTCTGCCTGCCTCTCTGCCTATTTGTGATCTCTCTCTCTCTCTGTCAAACAAATAAAATCTTAAAAAATAAAAATTTTTTAAAATTTTAAAAAATAAAAATAAAATACTTGAGCATTTAAAAGGTACAGTAGTAAATTCAATTTACGCCCCTTTAAAATTCAATTGAATTATTTTTCAAAATAGCTATCTCTATCACAGACTTCTTACCTTTTACATGTTCTCAATTTCAAGAAAGGAAACAAAATAAAAGCAAGAAAAACCTTCTAGAGTAAACTTTTTTAAAAAAATTATTTGACAGAGACAGCGAGAGAGAGAACACAAGCAGGCGGAGTGGGAGAGGGAGAAGCAGGCTTCTCGCTGAGCAGGGAGCCTGATGCAGGGCTCCACGCAGAGCCCCATCCCAGGACCCTGGGATCATGACCTGAGCCGAAGGCAGACGCTTAAGTTCTGAGCCACCCAGCCGCCCCTAGAGTAAACATTTAAAATGAAAACTAAAATAGCAAAGTAGAATTTATGGGAAGAACAGCTTTGTAAATCTCAGAAGTTCAAATTCACATTCCATTTAACTAATCTTACTATGTTTTTATGGGAGAAAAATACTGCTGTAAAAGGGATAAAAAACAAGGAAGAAGGAAATCTTTGCCTTACCTTATAGGTGTAAACACATTTTCATGCCACTGAATTGCTAGAAATGTCAACTTCAGACATTCTCCAGAATAAAAAGTAAATGAACAGAAGCAGCAATCTCCAAATAACTGTAGATAAATTTAATAAACTTTAGTATATAATTCATCTAAAAATTAATCAAGATATATAGAACATACATTTTTCATCATAAACAAAATAAAATACGGAAATCTTGTTTTTTTATTCTTAACATTAAGCTAGAGAATAAGTAATTTAAAAAAAAATGAGTAAGTAATTTATTTCTGAGCCAGAGGCATGTCTCAAGCAAACACTGCCATTTACTGTGACTATTACTGGAAAGATTCTTACATATTCTTATATATTTTTCTCTTATCTTATAGTTATATATTATTTAAATTGGGGCACTACCTCTACAGTGGAGGATGATAGAGGAAAATAAAATTTCAAAATGCAATTTTTAACAATAGTGGATTGGGTAACAAACTGTTGGTCCATACTTACAAGGAATGCATGTAGCTATTTATAATGTTTTTCGGTTAATGAATTTGTTCTTTCTTGGAAATTAAATGTCTTACTTAATATCACCAATCCTAGCTTTTTAAATTATTAAACTAATTAGATTTTAAAACCAAGGAAAACTAAGGAAAAGTATAGAATCAGACCTATAAATAGAGAACTGCTGGTTGTCAAAGGGAAGGAAGGAGGGGGATGGGCAAAATGGGTGAAGGGGAGTGGGAGGTACAGACTTCTAGTTATGTGTAACGAGTCATGGGAATAAAAGGTAGAGCATAGGGTATATCATCAATGGTACTGTAATAGTTTTGCATAGTGACAGATGGTGACTATACTTGTGGTAATCACAGCATAACATAAAGTGTTGTTGAATCACCATGATGTATACCTGTAACTAATGTTAACACTGTGTCAACTATAATCAAATAAATAAGTAAAAATAAATAAAATTTTCGGGACGCCTGGGTGGCTCAGTTGTTAAGAATCTGCCCTTTGGGGGCACTTGGGTGGCTCAGTGGGTTAAAGCCTCTGCCCTCGGCTCAGGTCATGATCTCAGGGTCCTGGGATTGAGCCCCGCATCGGGCTTTCTGCTCGGCAGGGAGCCCGCTTCCTCCTCTCTCTCTCTGCCTACTTTTGATCTCTGTCTATCAAATAAATAAATAAAATCTTAAAAAAAAAAAAAAAAGAATCTGCTCTTCGGCTCAGGTCATGATCCCAGGGTCCTGGGATCGAGCCCCGCATCATGCTCTCTGCTCAGGGGGGAAGCCTGCTTCTCCCTCTCCCATTCCCCCTGCTTGTGCTCTCTCATGGTCTCTCTCTGCCAAATAAATAAAATAAGAAAATTGGCAAATAAAATTTTAAACCTAGGGAAAAGTGAAACTAGGGAAAGAAAAAGGAAGCTCTAACTTAAACCATTTTTTAACTTAAATATAGTTTACAGTGTTGTATTACTTTTGAGTGTACAATATAATGATTCAACAATTCTACACATTTCTCAGTGTTCATCAAGGTAAGTATGCTCTTAATCCCTTTATCTATTTCACCTATCCCTCACCCACGTCTCACCCACTCCCCTCTTGTAACCAACCACCAGTTGTTCTCTGTATTTAAGAATCTATTTTGTTGTTTTTGTTTGCTCATTTTTTTTTTAAGATTTTATTTATTTGACAGAGATCACAAGTAGCAGAGAGGCAGGCAGAGAGAGAGGAGGAAGCAGGCTCTCTGCAGAACAGAGAGCCAGATGTGGGGCTCGATCCCAGGACCCTGGGATCATGACCCGAGCCCAAGGCAGAGGCTTTAACCCACTGAGCCACCCAGGTGCCCCTGCTCATTTTGATAAAGATTCGACATGTCAGTGAAGTCATGGTCCTCTGACTTATTTCACTTTGTCAAGTATTTGTCCTTTGACTTATTTCACTTGGCCTTATACCCTCTAGGTTCATCCATGTCATCACAAATGGCAAGATCTCATTCTTTTTATCACTGAGTAATATTCCATTATATATATATATATATACATATATATATATATATACATATATATATATATATATATCCACTTCTTTATCCACTTAACTATTTTTTTTTAAGGTTTATTTATTAATTTGAAAGAGAGACAGCGAGAGAGGAAACACAAGCAGTGGGAATGGGAGAGGGAGAAGCAGGCTTCCCGCTGAGCTGGGAGCCCGATGCAGGGCTCAATCCCAGGACCCAGGAGCCTGGGATCATGACCTGAGCCAAAGGCAGATGCTCAACGACTGTGCCACCCAGGAGGCCCTATCCACTCACTTATTGATGGACACGGGGTTGCTACCATAGTTTGGCTACTATAAATAATAATGCTGCAATAAATAAAGAGGTACATATGTCTTTTTGAATTAGTGTTTCTGTTTTCTTTGGGTAAATATCCAGTTGTAGAATTAGTGGATCACATGGTATTTCTATTTTTAATTTTTTGAGGAAACTCCATACTGTTTTCCACAGTAGCTGTACCAATTTATATTCCCTCCAACAGTACATGAAGGTTCTTTTCTCAATATCCTTGTCAAACACGTTATATCTTATCTTTTTGATACTAGTCATTGACAGGCATCAGGTGATAGATCTCAGTATAATTTTGGTTTGCACTTCCTTGATGATTAGTGATGATGAGCAATTTTTCATGCAACTGAGGCCATCTCTATGTCTTCTGTAGAGAAATGTCTATTCAGGTCCTCTGCCCATTTTTTAATTGGATTATTTGTGGGTTTTTGGTGTTGAGTTGTATACTTGTGTATACTTTGGATATTAACCCTTTAACAAAAATATTTGCAAATATCTTCTCCAGTTCAATAAACTCCCTTTTTGTTTTGTTGATGGCTTCCTCCTTCCCTGTTGCATGAGCTTTTTATTTTTGTGTATTTCCAATAGTTGTTTCCTTTGCCAGAGGAGATACATCTAGGAAAATGTTTTTTCTTTTTTTTTTTTTTTAAGATTTTATTTATTATTTATTTGACAGAGATCGCAGGTAGGCAGAGAGGCAGGCAGAGAGAGAGAGGAGGAAGCAGGCTCCCTGCTGAGCAGAGAGCCCCATGTGGGGCTCGATCCCAGGACCCTGAGATCATGACCTGAGCCGAAGGCAGAGGTTTTAACCCACTGAGCCACCCAGGCGCCCCTAGGAAAATGTTTCTAAAGCTGATGTCAAAGAAATTACTGCTTATGCTTTCTTCTAGGAATTTTATGGTTGCAGGTTTCACTTAGGTCTTTAATCCATTTTGAGTTTTTTTGTGTGTGTGGTTTAAGAAAATGGTCCAGTTTTCTCAACAGCATTTGTTGAAGAGACTGTCTTTTTCCCCCACTATATATTCTTGCTTCCTTCCTCATAGACTAACTGACCATGTATGCATGGGTTTATTTCTAGGTTCTCTATTCTGTTCCATTGAGCTATGTGTCTATTTTGTGCCTGCCCTGTACTGCTTTATCACCTCCAGCTTTGTTCTTCTTTTCCAAGACTGCTTTGGCTGCTCGGGATCTTTTGTGCTCTGTACAAATTGGGGTTTATTTGTTCTAGTTCTTTAAAAAATGTTATGTTGATAGGGATTGCATTAAATCTGTAGACTGCTTTGGGTAGCATGGACATTTCAACAATACTCGTTCTCCCAATTCATGAGCATGGAATATCTTTCCATTTGTTTGTGTCATCTTCAATTTCTTTAATCAATGTTTTAAAAAGTTTTCAGAGTACAGATCTTTCACCTCCTTGGTTAAGTTTATTCCTAGGTATTTTATTCTTTTTGGTGCAATTATAAATGAAATTGTTTTCCTAATTTCTCTTTTTGCTACATCATTTCTAGTGTAGAGAAATGCAAGAGATTTCTATATAATCACCTTATATCCTATGACTTTACTGAATTCATTTGTCAGTTCTAATAGTTTTTTTGGTGGAGTTCAAACCATTTTTAATAAACATTTTTAAAAATATAACCAAGAAATGTAAAAATATTTTTTCTACAATAATTTCATAATTACTCTGACAATTAATGATGACTAAAGCTATATAACAGTGCTTTACACACTCTGCTCAGTAGCTTCACAAAGAGTGTCTGTTCTTAGAGTCAGAGATCTCAACTCCTGTAGCACCCTGTCTGATTTGGATTTTACCTCATTTTTTATAAAAACAGCATGCACTATAGCTTCTTTATCTTCATTAGAAGGCAAATGAACTGCTTCTTCAGGTATGATCTGGGACCACTGGCCTACCAATGAAGGGCTTTTAGAAGAGAAGATGTTCTTGAATTCCAAATATTCCCAAAGAAATATGCATCCAGAAGGAGTTATAAGCAGAACTCTTTTCCCATTTCCAGATACATACAAGTATAGTCTCAAGGAGCTCGCTTAAAAAAAAAAAAAAAAAAAAAAAAAGTTAATTAAACTTCTGAAGTCTGAATTCTTCCCAGAAAGTACATAATTTACCTCTTCTGACAATAAGAAACCTAAATGATGCTTCCATTCAGGATAAAACTAAGGCACTACTAATAAATTAAAAGTACAAATAATAGTAACATTTATCATGTACCTGTTATGTGATTTTAGGAACCCATTGTTGTTGTTGTTTTTAAGGTTGTATTTATTTATTTGACAGAAAGAGACACAGCAAGAGAGGGAAAACAAGCAGGGGAAGTAGGAGAGGGAGAAGCAGGCTTCCCGCTGAGCAGGGAGCCCAATGTGGGGCTCGATCCCAGGACCCTAGGATCATGACGTGAGCCGAAGGCAGATGCTTAACGACTGAGTCACCCAGACACCCAAGGAACCCACTGTTATCAGATATGTTAGGCCAGACTTTCTTCAAGATAAATCTAAGTATCACAAATAAACACCACCAAAAAAATTCATATACAAGAAAACATAAATATGTATATATTCTCTATATATACAGATATATATATGCACACATACAGAGATATATTTTTAAAATAGTAATAGGAAAATGTTTCATCTTCTTTTCTTTCTATTTACCAAGTAAACCAATTTAAGCAAATAAAAAACTCCTACCTACTGCAGCTTGAATCATTTTCTTAGGCTCTTCAGTTGTCTGTATAGTTTTCAAGCAATCTTGATCCTTGTTCCAAAGAAAAAGCTCCCCTGTAGTGAGTACCCCAGCCAGCCAGGCATCTGTTTCCAAAAAGGAAATACAATACTTATAATCTAATATGTCCCTTGATATTGCCCCAAACTATGAACAAACACAATTAATCTAGACTTTTGAAAATATTAGTACTACTTAACCATTACTGGATGTTGTTAGGATAATAACATCCTTAAGTAAAGGCTGCAGACAAGGAATTTTCTTCTTTGTTCTTCCTGATAGCAAGTTAATTTCATTTATGAATTTATCATCCAAAAGAAAAACAGCTTCATTCTCCTAAAAGAAGAAACATGTGAGACTTAAGAGGTGCCAGAAGTTCATTCAACCTCTAACCTAAATAATCCCAGAAAGGAAAATAAAGTAACATTCAAGAAAGATTATACACTTGTACCACAAATAATAAAATTATTATATTATGAATATTATATATTATGATGTTATAATAATAAAATGATTAGGTAACCTGGAGATTTTTTTCATTCTGTCTTAAAATATTTCTTAATAGAATTACTAGGTAGGGGGGCACCTGGGTGACTCAGTGGGTTAAAGCCTCTACCTTTGGCTCAGGTCATGATCTCAGGGCCCTGGGATTGAGCCCCCGCATCGGGCTCTCTGCTTAGCAGGGAGCCTGCTTCCCGCCCCGCCCCTGTCTGCCTCCCTGCCTACTTGTGATCTCTGACTTGTGATCTCTGTCTGTGAAATAAATTTTAAAAAAATCTTAAAAAAAAAAAAAAAAGAATCACTAGGTAGGATAACCTAATGTTTGCATCTAAATCTTTTTGATTTTTAAAATTACAGGAGTGTCTTCCAATTCTGCTAGCCAAAATTGAGTTATGTGTTGTTTAATTTCATCAATCTGAAAAGTAGTATGGGAAAGTTTTTAAACTATTTACCTAGATTAAAACAGATATGCCTTCTGAAATTTATAAACCCCAGGCTCTGATTATTTTTTATTATCTAGAAAAAGCATGCTGTTTTGAATGAACCTTGTTTTCATATATTTTAGGGCAGTGGTTTTCAAAGTACTACCTAACCAACACTATTAGCAACACCTAAGACCTTGTTAGAAAAGCACACTCTCCACCCAAACCTATTCAATCAGGAATTCCAAGAGTGGGGCCCAACACTTGTTTTAAAAAGATCACCAGCTAAAGGGGCAGCTGAGTGGCTCAGTTGGTTAAGTATCTAACTCAATCTCGGCTCGGGTCTTGATCTCAGGGTTGTAAGGTCAAGTTCTGGGTTGGGCAGCAGATAACCCTGAATCACTGGAAAATTCAAGAGACACTGTTCTAGAGGAAGTTAACAATGTAATTTCCCACAGGAATGATTCTAAACACCAAATTTTTAAATTTTCATAATTATTACATATTCTAAGAGGATTTTATAGGTCTGCCAATTTTCCCTAAGGAAAATGTGAATGGTGTTCCTGGATTGCTGGTATATTCTGGCCCATCTTTATTCTAAGTTCTAAGAGGCACTTTTATTGAGTACTCATGCAAATCACAATGGGAGGAAACACTTCACTGACTATTCCAGTAAAGAAAGGTTCAGAAGATTAAATATTCTCTTTTGGTTACACAAAAAAGCTTTTGCACCATGCAGGAGGAAACCATCAACAAAACAAAAAGGCAATCTGCTGAATGGAAGAAGACATTTGCAAATGATAGATCTGGTAAGAGGTTAAAATCCAAAGTATACAAAGAAATTATACAACTGTATACCAAAAAAACCCCCAAATAATCCAATTAAAAAATGGGCAGAGGACCTGAATAGACATTTTTCTACAAAAGACATATAGATGGCCAACAGATGCATGAAAAGATGCTCAAAATCACTAATCATCAAGGAAATGCAAATCAAAATCACACTGAAATATATCACTTAACACCTGTCAGCATGACTAAAATCAAAAAGATAAGAAGGGGGCCACCTACATGGCTTAATCAAGCGTCTGACTCTTGGTTTCAGCTCAGCTCATGATCTCATGGTCCTGAGTTCAAGCCCCACTTTGGGCTCTATGCTCAGCGGGGAGTCTGCTTGAGATTTTTCTGGCTCTCCCTTTGCCCCTCTCCCTGCTGGTTTTCCCTCTTTAATAAATAACCAAAATCTTTAAAGAAAAAAAAAAAAAAGACAAAAGGGGCACCTGGCTGGCTCAGTCAGTAGACTATGCAACTCTTGGTCTCCGGTTGTGAGTCTGAGCCCTATGCTGGGTGTAAAGATTACTTACAAATAAAATCTTAAAAAAAAAAAAAAAACAGAAATAACAAGTGTTTGGCAAGGATATGAAGAAAAATGGACTCTTGTGCACTGTTGGTAGAAATATAAATTGGTGCAGCCACTGTGGAAAATAGTATGGAATTTCCTCAAAAAATTAAAAATACAAATACCGTGTGATCCACTAATTCCACTGGATTTTACTTTATTTTTTTAAGATTTTATTTATTTATTCATCAGAGAGAGAGAGAGAGAGAGCAAGAACAAGCAGGGGAAGCGCCAAGCAGAGGGAGAAGCAGGCTCCTCACCAAGCAAGGTGACTGATGTGGGACTCCATCCCAGGATGCTGGGATCCTGATCTGAGATAAAGGCAGCCACTTATCAGATTGAGCCACCCAGGCGTTCCTGGATTTTTTTTTTTTTTAAGATTTTATTTATTTGTCAGAGAGAAAGAGAAAGAGAGAGACAGAGCACAAAGTGGACTTTCCCAGAGATGAGATAAGTGGGGAGATGGGCAAAATTGTTGAAGGGGATTAAGAGGTACAGAGTTCCAGTCATAAATAAGTTACAGAGATGAAAAGTATAGCATTGGGTATGTACTCAATAACATTGTAACAGTGTTATATGGTGACAGATGGTGACTAAATGTGAGGAGCAACAATGAATGCACAGAACTGTAGAATATGTTATACACCTGAAATCAATATAACATCATTATGTTAATTATATTTAAATTAACATTTTTCATTAAAAAGCTCCCTTTGGGGACACCTGGGTGGCTCAGTGGGTTAAAGCCTCTGCCTTCAGCTCAGGTCATGATCCCAAGGTCCTGTGATCGAGCCCCGAATCAGGCTGTCTGCTCAGTGGGGAGCCTGCTTCCCCCCTCTCTGTCTCTGTCTGCCTCTCTGCCTACTTGTGATCTCTGTCTGTCCAATAAATAAATAAAATCTTAAAAAAAAAAAGCTCCCTTTGAGGGGCACCTGGGTGGCTTAGTCAGTTAAGTGTCAGACTTCAGCTCGGGTCATGATCTCGGGATCCTGGGATTGGGCCCCAAGTCATGCTCCATGCTCAGCAGGGAGTCTGAATCTTCCTCTCTCTCTCTCTCTCTTTCTCCCTCTCCCTGCTCATGTTCTCTCTCTCCAATAAATACAATCTTAAAAAATAAAAATAAAAACAGCTCCCTGGGCGCCTGGGTGGCTCAGCTGGTTAAGCGACTGCCTTCAGCTCAGGTCATGATCCTGGAGTGCCGGGACTAAGTCCCACATCAGGCTCCCTGCTTGGCAGGGGAGTCTGCTTCTCCCTCTGACACTCCCTCTTCTCATGCTCTCTCTCTCTCATTCTCTCTCTCAAATAAAGAAATAAAATCTTTAAAACAAATGAACAACAACAAAAAAACTCCCCTTGATAACACCATTTCAACCTCAAATGTAGTAAGACGAAAAATTTTTTTTGAAAGTAAAATATTTCTTTTAGACAAACCATTTAACTTTCTGGAAAAGCTAACTTGCTCACCATAAAAAAAAAAAAAAAGAAAAGAAAAGAAAAAGAAAAACCCACAAAAAAATCCTGTTCTGTGAGCACATGATTCTTCTAAATATGGTGGTTTAAGACCAGAAAACATTCTATCTTAGAGGCAAAGTATACATTTAACACATTATTACAGCTGGTACTATATGAAGAAAGAAAAACCTACCTGTCCTAACCAGGAGACTCTTGGCCAAGGCTTTTTCTGTTTGATACTTGTTGATGTCAAAACTTCTAATCTTATCTCCATGCTTGTCAAGGTAACAATGACCAATTAAGTAAACAGTCCACAAGACGCTGTAAAAAAAATTACAATAATAATAAATAGCCCAAAAGATTTACTGAGGATCCTAATTTAGAATGTTCACATAGTAAATTGCTTTTCCATCATCTCAAATTAACTCACTTTTTAAGGTGAGATACTGAGAATGCATTTAGTATCTCGTATCTCAAACAGGCAAAATGCATTTGCTTTTTTTTTTCCACAAGTTTTTTCTCAGACTACAAAGATAAAAATAAACTAGGAAAAGACCTTGACAATAAAGTTTCTATGCAATATGCTTTTCTCAGTGTTATAGGTTGTATTTCCCAAGGTTGGCCACAATAGCATCTCCCAGACCACATGTCTTTTTATACTGTGACTTTGACACTTCTCTCATTGAGTTATTTGAGATATGAGATACTAAATGTATTCTCAATATCTTACTTTAAAAAGAAGAAACCATGACTCTCTATAATTATGAATAAGTAATCAATTGAACATTTTATTTAAAATGGTATATTTACATTGTTTCAAAGTATAAAAATACCCTATAAAGTACTCATTAATTGCAAAAAAGAGTAACTTTATAATGAAGAAGCCAGGCAGCCTCCATTTAATCCAGTGATCAAAATGAAAATTATTGGGACACCTTGGTGGCTCAGTCAGTTAAACAGCTGCCTTCAGCTCAGGTCATGATCCCAGAGTCCTGGGTTCAAGTCCCACATTGGGCTCCTTGCTCAGCGGGGAGCCTGCTTCTCTCTCTCTCTCACTGCCTGCCACTCTGCCTGCTTGTGCTCTCTCTTTCTCTCTGTCAAATAAATAAATAAAATCTTTAAAAAAATGAAAATTATCAAAATGGATCAACTGGAGAATGTGTCGCCTAATAGGTAAAATGAGAAAAATGTCTCTGTGACATATGTGCAAAAGATACATAACCTGAACCTAATCACAAGGATGTATTAGGCAAACCCAAACTGAGGGACATCCTACAAAATAACTGATCTGAAATCTTCAAAAGTTTTAAGGTTATGAAAGTTGGGAAAAAGATCAAGAGACTGGTCCCAAGTGGAAAACCTGATAACTAAATGAATTACAATAACTAATTGTACATTTTATCTTTTCATGATAAAGGACAAAACTGGCAACTGGAAAAACTTGAATAGAAAGAAAAAATGAGGGCGCATGGGTGGCTCAGTGGGTTAAAGCCTCTGCCTTCAGCTCAGGTCATGATCTCAGGGTCTTGGGATCGAGTCCCGCATCGGGCTCTCTGCTCAGCAGGGAGCCAGCTTCCTCCTCTCTCTCTCTGCCTACTTGTGATCTGTCTGTCAAATAAATAAATAAAAATCTTTAAAAAAAAAAAAAGAGAAACTGAGGATGATATGGCTGTAATGTATGAATCTTAATTTTCTGATTTTGATTGGATATCTTCCATATATGTAGGTAATGTCCTTGTTTGCAGAAAATACACACTAAAATATTCCAAGGTAAGAGAACATCAGTTTGTCACTCACTCTCAAACGAGTTATGAAAGATCCTTGTACTATATATGCAATTTTCCTGTAAGTTTCTGAGTGTTCCAAATTAATTTTTTTCATTTTTAAAATCGAAAAATCATATGTAATTTGGCCATGGCCTGTATTCAATCATAGCCTTCTTCTTTATTTTTAATGTTATATTCCTAATTCTAGTTTATGAAATCCAAAAATGCTGGTATAATTAATGTCATCTTAAAAAAGTAGCTGAACTTTTTTTATAAAATAAGCTTTAAAAGAAAAACTATTCAAGTACACCAAAGAGGACCTATTAAGATGCTAGACATCCTCATTATTTTACACTGCAACAGTTTTCAATTGCTTAGAACCCTAATAATCTAAATGACCATGTCCTGAGATACTATTTTTATAAACTTTAAATATAAATAAAACTATAAATAAAAATAAATAAAAGAAATTCTTTAAAAATAGCTAACCACGGGTGCATGGGTGGCTCAGTCAGTTAAATTCCTGACTCTTGATTTTGGCTCAGGTCATGATCTCAGGGTCATGGGACAGAGCTCAGATTTGGGGCTCTGCACTCAGTGGGGAGCCTGCTTTCGAGTCTCTTCCTCTCCCTGTACCCTTCTCCCGCTTGTACACACACTCTCTAAAATAAATAAATCTCTTTAAAGAAAAGCTAACCAAATGCAAGAGGAATGATTTCATCAGAAAAGCATCATTTGCAGTTCCTAATAAAATAACAGATCTAGTCAACAGTGTCAGTGGTTGCTAAAACTATTAGGTTAAAGTAGATGGAGAAATTTATTAGGTGAACTGACATGGCCTACCATCTTAAAATTACTAACTATGAGACAAAGACATTATATTCCTTCTGATATGTTGCTACGTAGATGGGAAGTACACAAAACTATCTATGAAATATTCTTTTTTTTTAAGATTTGAGAGAGAGAGAATGAGCAGTGGGTGGGGGAGGGGTAGAAAGAGAGGGAGAAGCAAACTCCCCACTGAGCAGGGAGCCCAACACCATGCTCAATCCCAGGACCCCGAGATCATGACCTGAGCCAAAGGCAAGACATTTAATCAACTGAGCTAACCAGGCGCCACTGAAACATTCTTAAAAAGATAAAAAGTTAAAACTGAACCTTAATCTGTATCTGACTCTAAACACCAATTGACAAGAAATAAAGAAAACAAAGGAACATATTAAATACACCAAGGAGAATAAAATCAACCAAATTCAGAGTGTAAAAAATGTTACATGATAAATAACACAGTTTCAACAAATAAATGGTACTTTAAAGGGAGAGGGGCACCTGGGTCGCTCAGTCAGTTAAGCATCTGACTCTTGATTTCAGCACTGGTAATGATCTCAGGGTTGTGCCATAGAGCCCCAAGCTGGCCACCACACTCAGTGGAGAGCCTGCTTGAGATTCTTTCTCTCCCTCTCTCTCTGCCCCTTCCCCACTCACACATGTTCTAAAACAAATAAATAAAATCTTTTTTAAAAGGGGGGAAGGGGAAGAAACTGCTGTATATCTATTATATATAGATATGCACTTATATATATTTATAAGGGGGAAGTGTCAAGAAACATAATAACCAAATGTAGTATACAAAGATCTTTTTGGACCTTAATTTAAATAAAAACAGTTAGAAATAGATATTCAGCAGCTGCCAAAAAGAGTAAGATCTCAAAAAAAAAAAAAAAAGAATAAGGAAGATCTCTGTGAACTGTGATTTCTGAAATATATTTTTAATTGAAAAAAAGTAAAGTGCAGGGATGCCTGGGTGGCTCAGTCTGTTAAGGCATCTGCCTTTGGCTCAGGTCAGACCCCCAAGGTCCTGGGATTGAATTCCGCATCTGGCTCCTTCCGCAGCAGGTAGCCTGCTTCTCCCTCTGCCTGTCACTTCCCCTACTTGTTCTCTGACAAATAAAAATCTTTTAATAAATAAAACAAGCTTCACTTACTCTTTAATAAAAAGGGAGAGAAAAGTAAAGTGCAAAATTGCATATGTGGGGTGTCTACCTGGCACAGTTAGTACAACAAGCCACTCTAGAACTGGGGTTTGAGCCTTATTTGGGTGTGGAGTCTACTTTTAAAAAAGAATATACCTAGGGGTGCCTGTGTGGCTCAGTCCTTACGTGTCTGCCTTTGGCTCAAGTCATGATCCCAGGGTCCTGGGATTCAGCCCCATATCAGGCTCCCAGCTTGGCAGAGAGCACACTTCTCCCTTTCCCACTCCCTCTGCTTGTATTCTCACTCTCCCGTTCTGTCAAATAAATAAATAGAATTAAAAAAAAAAAAAGTATACCTAGTATGCAACTTTGTACGTAAGCAGAAGAAAATAACATAAGCATCATTTAACTTTGTAAAAAGAAACAAAAATGGAACAAAAATTAACAAAATAGGTTAACTACCATGGGGTGGGGGTGGCAAAGTGAAAAGGCTAGGGAGAGCATACTTAATACACCTTTTTGTATGGTTTTGACTTTTGGAATTACATTAATAAACAAGAATTGGTGGGGACATAAAATTTAATACAAAGAGAAGCAAATCTGACTATATTTCAAATGAGTAAAATAACCACAATGAAAAGAAAAAGGATTAATGCAAGTAACTTTTAAATACAGTATTTTGACGATATGCTCTCAAACTGAAGACAAAAAGAACTACAAACAAATCTCAAATTCTTCTTAGTAGGTTTGTTTTTACCAGGGGTAAGAGTATAGAAATTATGAAACTATTTTTGTATATTGTAGGAGTGAGCAAATGAATGTGTGTGTGTGTATTTCATATATATATATGGATGGGAGCCAGCATTTTCATTGTAGAAGAAATGGAAACCAAAGAATGGGGAAAGGTAAAGAAGAGCCCTAAAGGGCTGGATAGGAATTAAATGTGTCAGTATAAAAACTCATGATTCCTAGTTCTGTCTTCTAAAGGGGCCTATAGAAGCAATGACACTCTAGTAGCAATGAGCAAACCTAGCACCCAGATTCTGGGTTCTTTTCTTTCTTGTTTTGTTTTGTTTTGTTTTTTTAAGATCCTACTTACTCATTTGAGAGAGAGAGAGAAACCACAAGTGGGGTGAGGGGCAGACGGAGAAGGAGAAACAGATTTCCTGCTGAGCACAAAAGCCGGATCCAATGACATGGGACTTGATCCCAGCACCCCAAGATCATGACCTGAGCTGAAGTCAGATACTTAACTGACTGAGCCACCCAGGCACCCCCAGATTTTGGTTTCTAACTACCATTCCTCAGTCAGAGAAACCTTGAAAAATAGCTGATTTCAGGATAGTGAAGGAAACAAATGGACCTGGAACATCTTATTCCAAAGTAAGGAAGCAAACATATAATGGGGGCATGTCAAAAACAAACAGGACCAAGGAGTGCCTGGGAGGCTTAGTTGGTTAACCACCCAACTCTTGGTTTCAGTTCGAGTCAAGAGTCTCGGGGTTATGGGATTGAGCCACACCTAGGGCTCCATGCTGAGGAGAGTCTGCTTGGGATTCTTTACCTCTCCCTGCCCCACTCTCC